TGGCTTGCGTTAAGAATGTGCCAACCTGGAACTCTAAACTTAACCCGGCGTGACTCTCCCAGCGCTGCCCTAAGAGGGAAGCCTGGCAGCGGCACCTGGGCGCCCGCCAAGACAAACCCAACCCACGCGGTGGATGTCAGCGGGACAGCCAGCAGGGCCAGAGCAAAGCAGAGGGGGGATGGAGTGCCGTGCCCCATTCCTGCGCCCCGTCCCTGGGATGACCCCGAGTTTGGCTCTCCACGTTTGCACAGCAAGCCTTCTGCGATTTCTAGTGCTCTCCCGGAGCTAAAGGCAGCAAGTATGGGTCGCTGGCCTCAGCCGTGCCTGTTGCAGGCTGACGATAAGGAACGGGTCTGTCAGTGGGACTTGGGTGCATGGATGGGGCGAGCTGATGGCAGTCAGCCCTCCAGCACAGGCTCTGCTTTTCTGGCGCTTCCACATCGACACCTGGTGGTGGAGCCGGCCATCGTGCTCTCAGAGACGGTTTTATTGTGGGCCGGTTGGTGTACGCCCGTCAGACGTCAGTTCCTAGGCGCATCCTCCTTCTGTTTGTACTGCGGCTCTCAGTTGTGCATGAGTTCCATCGGACAAATACGAACATCAGAACATCCAAGTGCGGATGCTGCCCTAAATAACATCTCGCAGATTGCACCTCCAGCTGTGTTTGCAACAGCACGAAAGGTAAACAGACGTAATCACTGCAGCATACGGCTTCCTTTTTTAATTTAAGCTCACGTAGAATGTTGATTCTCTGCCCTTTTTTTTTATTCTGTTCTATTATTTTTACTTCAGTTGAACCGACGACCACAACTTTTTTCCTCCACTGCAAGGCTTTAACGTGCCCCTTCTATCTTGAGAAAGATGCTCCAAAGGCTTAAAGATCTTCCATCTGCTTTTTTAAATGAAGACAGGGCTCCAAACCCCACCACATGTCATGTATTACAGAGCCAGGCATGATGAGCAAAGGGATGTTCAGATGCTGAAGTTCTTATCCGAGAATGTTTCCCTGCTGGAAATAACATTTTTACAAGCTTCTGTATTCCCTTCAGCCTCTCCCTAACAGGACCTCCTGTAGGGAGAACTCAGTATTTCTCATTCCGATGATAGTTTTGAGTAACATTTATAATTGTCTGCCAATGGCTGTGTATTTTTTGGCAATAACGGATCACATTCAAGCTTGTTTCCCTGCTAAAATCCCTTTAGCCCTGCTTTTGGAGCAATGGTCAGATGGGCTGCTTCTGCCCGTGGCATTTATGTGTTCGGTTTCCATGAGGTTGCAGAACATGGTATTAATTATGAAGTATATTTTGCTATTTACAATTTGAAGTGGTAAAAACCTCTGCGCTCCCCCTGCATTTTTCCTGAAAGCTTATACAGCAAATGTTGGTTGGTCCTCAGTTCTCCTAAGCTATTCTTATCTACCTGCAGGCAAAGGATATGTGAGTTTTAGAATTTATTGTAGTTAAATGTAGGATGGCTGAGGTTCCGCTACCACTCCATTTGTCCTCAGAGAAAGCTCTGTAAGGTCAGCATAAGCAAATGTGAGTTGAATGGGATCTCTGTCTCCATGCATAAAAAGTTTTTGCTGATAGGATTGTTTTAAGGCAGGATGGGAAAACAGCTTGAGCACATCATGCCTCTGCCAGGGTGAGGATATCCATGCCAAGTTTAAAGAAGAAAACAAAAAAGCCACGCTGCTGAACTCTATATAAGCTAGGAGAAGACAGATTAGAAGGGTACAGGCGAAGGGTACAGCAGGAATTTCCAAGACTGAAGAAAAGGGGTGAGAACACCTGGAGGAGGGGGGAAGGAGAGGAGGAGGTGAGAGGGAGGAGCACGTGGTGCAGTAAGGAATGGTGAGTGGCTGCTCTGGGGGTAGGAGGAGGAGGAGGAGGAGGAGGAAGGAGCACGGAGCACCAGAGCCTGAGGTGGCAGCAGGTGGGGGTGCACGGTATCTGTGCAGCATGGGGGATAGCAGTGAACATGGAGTTGTTTTGTGACTCAGGAACTTTCCAGTGAAGGTGTTGACGGAGTCGAATAAGACAGGGAGTAGAAAACTGGGAAGAAGAGGACTTCATGTGGCAAGAGGGATCTGCCACCAGTAACTCCTGTACCATTGGTGGAGCTGCACTGCCTGACTTGTGACTTGTGTGAGTTGTGTCCAACAGCCTGTGCACCCTGCATGAGTCATCATGGCTTCCTGCTCTGTGTGTGCTGTTCTCACACGTGGCTGTGTCTACAGCTTTGTTTCACCTGTGGTAGGTCAGCAGTGTATTCTCTCAGAAAACACACAACACACTTCATCTCATAGCTGAAAAGAACAGTTTTTAAGAACATCCCTCCTGGCTTTGAGCCATTTTGCCAAGAAGTCAGTGCAGTGGTGCAGCTCACTGAGCGGCAGAGCGGCTGGAAGACTGTGCAGAGGAGAAGGAGCTGGGGGTCTTGATCAATGATCAGCTGAACACGAGCCAGCAGTGTGCCCAGGTGGCCAAGAAGGCCAATGGCATCGTGGCTTGTATCAGAAATAGTGTTGCCAGCAGGAGCAGGGAGGTGATCATGCCTTGTACTCAGCGCTGGTGAGGCCTCACTTTCAGACTATGCTCAGTTTTGTGCCCCTCACTACAAGAAAGATATTGAGGCCCTGGAACATGTCCAGGGAAGGGCAATGAAGCTCTCAAGCACCTGGAGCACAACTGTTAAGGGGAGCAGCTGAAGGAGCTGGGATTGTTCTGCAGCTGCCTGAAAGGGGGTTGTGGTGAAGTGGGAGTCAGCCTGTTCTCCCACATGATTAGTGATAGAACTAGAAGAAACAACATCCAACCAGAGGAGGTTCAGATTGGATTTCTGAAAGAGTGGTCAGGCACTGAAACAGGCTGCCCAGGGAGGTGGGAGAGTTACCATCCCTGGAGGTGTTTAAGGAAAGGGTAATGTAGCTCTTAGGGACACGGTTTAGCAGGACTGGTGGTGGTAGGTGCACAGTTGGACTAGGTGATGTCAGAGGTTTTTTGCAACCTTTTTAATTCTACGAGTCAGCCATGGTAGGTGTCCATTTGTCAAAGGCTGTCACCAGAATTCATTTTTCTAGCTTGCAGAGGTGGTCTGTTGCACTCAGATACAGGCCTTTGCCTTTCCTTCCCAGCAATCCAGTGTAGTCAAGTAGGAGAGACGCCATGACTCACATAACCTTCCACTTACGTGCTTATGAAGCTGTTCAGCGTTTGCTTACAAATTGTGCCAGTTTTTGAGGAGCTAAAATTGTTATAAACCTCTTGAGAATATCTGAAGATTACCTTCTTCAGAGCCCTTCATACGGCAGGAATCAGTTTGTTCGTAAGCTCACAGTCCCATGTGCAATGAGAGAAAAAACACGCGCACGGGGAAAGCTGAGGGAGGGCCAGCAGCTCTGGCTGCAGCACTGGGCAGGATGGTGCCTCATTCCCATCTCACATTGCACACAGTTCTTCAGAGGGACACTGATCATCAGTTTCCCTGGCCACTCACAGAGGAGTGTGCCTATGGCTTCCCAGCTTTTTGGAAAGGGTGAAGAAGGGAAGAGGCTTCCCTTCTATGTTGTCGGTTTAGATTTTGTTTGGTTTTGGTTTTTTACCAGTCTAACAATAAATGCAAAACTTTGTAAATCTTCCTTAGGAAAGCAGCTCATCTCCTGGAGGATCGCTCCCACTGCTTCAATCTTCTTCTTTTTGTCTTGACAACCAAAAAGCAAAGGCCTTAGAGGCTCTCAGCCTCTAGGGATTTATAGATTCATTCTCAACTTGGCAAGCCAGAGCTGCCCTCGAATGCATCTCAGCAGAGACACCAAATGGCAACAGCTGTCCATAACGTCTGTGTGAGAGCTACCTATTCCTTCCTGTTAGCAGTTCCTTCCCTTCACTCTCAAGCCAGAAAGCAATCCTACTGTCTTGGAGAGTATAAAAGGCTGCAGAAGAAGGCCCCTCGTCCCAGATGCTTACTCAGTGGTGAAATAATAAAATGGTTTGTGCTTGCCGTGGGCCTTTTGCCAAGGGCAGAGTTTCTCTACAGCACTCAATGACATAACTCTGCTGCTGTGCTGCCCTTGAAACAAAAACTTCATGAGAAAAATCTCTCTGAGCAGATGAGCCAAGAGAAGTCAAGTTCTGTTTAGCACTGAAGTCTGATTTATATTCTCAGACACTTTCTTAACAGAATGCATATTCTGGGTGTTTTACTGAGAGACTGCACAGTAAATAAGGCAGAAATGAAAGCAAAAAAAAGGTATTTAACAGGAGAGAGTTTTGAATGAGGACCAAATTCCTCAGCGTTCTTGAGGAAAAAGGAGAAAAAGCTTACACACATGTAGTCAGCAAGCCCAGGGCACTATGTAGAGGGCACCGTGCCAAGTTTCCTGTTTCCAAATACTCTCTATATTGAAATATGTAGCCTACCTTCCAGACAGAAAGCTACTAAATGATGACATGTATGGCTATAGCCTGTTCCACTGCTTTCTGTGTATTTTCTGAATGTTGTCCTTTGCGTCTGGCTGTTTGTATGAGGAAGGAGCTTTCAGGGCACTTTCAGTGTGAAGATGTGCTTGGGCACGACGGGAAGCTCTGGTGCAGGACGTTGTGCCATGCAGTGAGCCCATCCTTCAGCGGGCACAATGTTCACATTTGATTCATGAATTCATTATGCTAAAGTGGAGTGTGACATATTTCATGGAAACTAACGCTGGCTGTAGACCTCAAATACTTTCCAAACCAATTCACATATTCCATGATTTTGGTTTAACGAGTTTCTAATCTTTGTGTATTTTCCAGAGGATACTGCAAGCTATTCCGATGAGCCAAAACACAGCAATCTGAAGGAGGTGATTTACGCAAAAAAAAAATAAACAAATACAGAAACTTACAATGACTATAATTAGTGGGAAAGTCATGTAATATGGAAAAAGATATTTGTGGTCACACTTCTGCATTCTTTTACAATGCCTTCTCAGTCAGCCACCACATGACTAAAAGAGAATCAGCTGATTTGGTTTATTTCCTGAAGAATCTTCTCACAAATACAAAAAATGCATCATGTGACAGTGACACTAAAGGTAAATTACTTCTGCTTGGTCGCCTTTCCAAACCAAGAGCATTCAGTGTGAGCTAGGTTTAATTATTGCCTGACTGTACTTCTAAGAAGAACCCACTAGAGATTCTCTAATGCATATGAGATTCTGTAAAGGCCACCTAAATGTTGGACCTAATTATCCATCAGCACTAAAAGGAATGAATAAAAAAACCAGAACATATTCAGAGCAAAGTGTTCTAGGTGTTCATTTTATAACATGCTAAATAATTCTTAAGATCTGTCATACTGACATACTTAAACTTTGGTAAAACGCCAAAAAACATTCAGGATCAACCTTAACACTTGAATTTTAACTTAAAAAAAAAAATTCAGTGGAATAACACAAAGATGAATAGCTTTACAGCTTACTGAAAATCAAACATGTCCCAGCAGAATAGAGTTTAAATATTTGTCATCATAAATCATCTGTATAGTGGCATTATGGGATCACGTTTGGTAATTAAGGGTTAATTCAACAATGTTTTTTCTTGTTTACTAGGACAGAAGCAGTCCAGAGAGACTATTACTATTATTTTCCTTTGCTATCTTCTATGTTAACTCAAAGAACAGCCCTGAGCTTTCAAACTGCAATAGGACTTACTTATATTATGGAGAACTTCCCTCACTTGACTTATTGTGCATGAGCCCTGAGAAACATACCTGCAGTTGCTTCCAAGCACTCTGGGGTCTTTCTTTGCTACCTCTATTAGTAATCCTGTGGGTTCACAGCATTGGTTCATAAACACTAGTTGGGTTTTTTAAAGGCCTAGGACATGATTGCCTTGTAATTAAAGCCATCAGGTAATTACATGGGCCCAAAGATGCCTTCTAGCAGGAAGTACAGCCCCATGTTAGGGGAAATATGCCAAATCACTTTTTTTTTCAGCTAGCTGAGCAGACTAGTCGTGATGAATGTTATGAGGATCCCTTTAATGGGACCCACGCAGAATAGCTCCTTGGTGGTATTTAAACAGCACATTAGAAACACATGAGGTTCACATGCTGGCAGCTCAGTTATTAAACTGAAGGCTTCCTACTCACTCCCAAGTGAAGTAGACAAGATCCTACCGCTGTGAACCACAGCAATTGTCTTGACTCAATGCCCCATGCATCATAACTGGTTGACGCTCAGCTGTATGCTACTTGAACAGCTGTAACTCAACTCATAAAGCCCTTTGGTAACACTCAGGTAAACCTGAGAGTAGCAGCTCTGCACTTGGTGGGAAAGGTTTAACCTGGAGACGTCACAAGTTTCTGTGTCTTTGAATCAGTAATGTCAAGCTAGCGATATCCTTGATCTCAGGGTACAGTGCCATGACTCGATTCACTTCGGCACAGGGGAAAATAGTGCACAGCTCCCTGTGGACACTTGTTTGCTGGGCAGGAGGTCTTGCAGCATGGGGTGGCCAGTAACCACAGTAAGCAGCACTGGGCTGAGCAGAGGCTTTCTGGAAGAAGTCAGGCGTGCTGCTGGCATCCAGCAGAAAGGGGTGGCTGGGGAAACAGCACTGGGGCCTCTCTCTGTAAACTTGCAGTGGCTCAGCTAGAGGCATCACAGAGGATGGAGGAAGGTGCTGCCGCTGCTGTGCCTCCAGGACTGGCCCAGACTGGGACCCATCAGACCAGCACTCCTGGGGCCAGCAGTGCTCCTGGTGCCTGCCTGGAGCAGGTGGGATCACTGAGTGCTGGAAGGGGCTCCCTGGTAAGCAGGTGCAATCCAAGCAGTGGTGGTGGTGGTGCAGCAGAAAGGGGTTGTGCCTCAGGCTACAGCAGCTATGAGGGCTGTCAGACACATCTTTGTCCTTTGAGGTGCACGCTGGTCCAGAGTACACCTTGTCACTGATGAAGAGTGCTGCCATGTCTCCCACGAGGGGATGGGCTCCGAGGGCTTCTGGTTTCCCGTCCAGCTCCAGGCCAGAGTTGGAACTGATGGCCCAAGCATCAGCTGGCTGGTATCTGTCTGGGGACCATGCTGCATAGCAAGAAGCCCTCATGCTCCTGCTGGCTCCCTGTGGCATTTCTGTGACAGGGTTGTGAGTCATAGGCTCTCTGCCAGTCCAATATGGAGAGCAGTTGCACACCTCCTCCTCCTTCCCCATGCTCATGGGCACTTTTGTTCTGGCTCTGAGCTCATCAGCAACTGACAGCTGAGCTTGATGCAGCCTCTCGGGATGGTAAAACTTGCATTTGTTACCGTAAGTGCATTTTTTACCTGAAAGAATAAAAAAATATCAAACAGGAGCTCATCCCCAAGGACCATGCAGCTAGGAGCTTCTGGTGAGCAAAAACAGCACAGAGAGAAAGCACTGCTTTCCCCCCTACCACTTTTGACCCCACATTTGCATGTTGCTGGCTGAAATAGCAGGGTGCAGCCACAGCGGAGGGAAATTTCTGCGTAAAGGTCTATTTAGGTCTATTTTGTCAGTGTCTGAAGTTCACATGTCTTGTGGTTGCAGTGCTCAATGGACCAGGAAATCTGCTGCTGAAAAGGGTGGCTTTCAAACACTGGGCAGATGTTCAAATTACACTAAAGCTGTTTTGGGGTGGGAGCACCACATAGTTGAGCAGCCCTGGCCCCATCCTCTACCACACCAAGTGTGAAGGCGGAGCGCATGCAGGACCAGGGCTGTCCCCTAGCTGAGGACTATGCAGCAAGGAAGCAAGGCCCAGGGGGGACAGAGAAGAACCCACCATAGGGGCAAGGCTGCCATGTTGATTCAGGAAGTGCTGGCTTTTTGCTGAGGAAATTATTAAGAGTGGGTCCGTGCCGGCCTAGTGGATCATCAGGAGGCATAAACCTGAAAAAGGAGAAGTGACAGAAGTAGCAGAAGTAGCATTGCCACAGCTTGCTGCACAGGCTTAGAGCAGGGCAGGTGGGTGATGCCCTCACAGCTCAGCCTCTGGAAGCTGCGTTATCCCTCCTGCTCACCAAGCCAACTGTGTTTCACAATCATGTAGCTGTCCTTCTTCTTTCCTAAAAACTTCAACCAACTGGAAAGAGGCTAAGGCTTCGCACAGCCCTGGTCTGTCAGCACCCCAGTTATTACAGTATCACTTCCTTTTTCCCCAAAGCAGTAGGAAATACCTCTGCTGGCCCTGCGCTCGTCAGCTCCCTTTCACACCAAACTCACTTTCCTCTTGTTTTTAGGGGAATGAGGTCTGAAGTCACCACTTATTTCAGCGCTACAGCTGATTGCGCATCTGGTGCAACGAAGTGGCCCAGCCTTTTCAAGGGGATAGTCAATGGGCCAGAGAGACCAACTTCTCCTTTCTCTTCTTCTAAAAGGTCACAATACTAAAAGCACAGGGGAAAGCGCTGTTCTGCCTTGCAGGGGAATTTAAAATTAATTCAGCCAGCGTCCCCTCCCTGATTTAATTCAGTTACACCACTACAGAATACGTACTAGGTGTTGGGTAAACATCCCAGTTTGGACTAGTAAGAAGGAAAGCTGATCACTACTGTTGCCATTCAAGCAGAGAATTTCATTGAGCAGCGGCATGGAGTTTTAAGACCAAAGATAAATGAGAAGGAACTACAGAAATGAGATAACTGTGGTGGACAGAGATACACTCATGTCTGAGCTGTCTTGACCCATACGCTTCAAGTTGCAGATTGCTCACCAGCCAAGTTCTCTTACCTATTACTGACAAAAGAGTACATGAGTAGTCGCTGCTCTATGAACCATTTCCACTCAGGATTTTCATTCTGGAGATCCCGGTAATGGTCATTGGAAACAATGACCCCATCTTTTTCGTAAGCAACCTTCACAATATAGCGATCATCGTAGCAAACTACCCTCTTGCCTTTCACCTTCCGAGATGGGGTATACACAAGGATTGATTGCTTCTCAAGCTCTTCAAGAATGTGCTGATCTGGTGAGGTGGTTAGCAGAAATAGAGGGGAAAAAATAGGCAAAGAAGGAATCAGTTAATGGTGACCTGATCTCCACCATGCTAGAAACTTCAGAAACTTAAAGTGGCGTGATTTTCAGATGTATTGAAAACTAGCAATTGTTTGGCAATTAAAAAAAAATAAAATTGGTCTTTTATAAAAGCATCTACTCGTAAAATTGGAGGTACCTTCTTCTGATTTTAAAGTCTTAACCATTAAAGGTATTAAAGGTCTATACCAGAGGTAGGCAAAACCCTTTGCCTTTTTATGTCAGTAGTTGCTAGAAAGCTTCTGACCAGTCCTGGCATGAGTGTCACTGCAAGTTGAAATGGGCCTGATAAAATAAATAAATCCATTTCTCCACCTCTGAGGAGGCTTCTTGCCTTTCCTGCCACACAGAGGGGCAGCTCTGTTGCCTTCTTACCTGCAGCTGCAGACATCAGGCTGCAGGCACATACCTTCCCTATTTCTGTACAACTCAAATCTCGCCATCCTCCACAGACTTCACACATCCTTCTCCTGGCAGAGGAAGCTGCGTAGCCCCTGCATCAGGTACCAGGGCAACTGATGCCAGTTGTGCAATAGTGAAACCTTATTCACAAAGATACCCACACCTTTGAAAATGTGTGAAACATTACATCTACTGAGACACAATGCTGTTTACTGGCTGGCCTTAAATACTCTGCAGGCTGTTGTGAGCTAGCAAACTTGTTCTTCTTTAATTATGGCAGAAATTAGTGCTCTGAAACTTCTAAGCACAGTAACAAAGCCCTGTTTGCAGTTTTCATCGCTCGCCTGCATGTGACAATGAATTAATGACTAATTTAAGCAACAGAGACCTTATACAGTTCGCACCTTGTAGGGCAAAATCATACTGTTCTCTTCACATCCCCTGCCTGCAGTCTGCACCCAATGGCTGCCAAATTACGCCCAGGATGGTGACGTACCTGCAATGGGACTGTCTTGTCGAGGGGGCTCCTTCCTCCAGAGGGGGACAAAAACCTTGATGTAGGTGTGTCCCCTTTCTCGGAACCAGTCCACAGCCAGGCGGATCCCCCAGCAGGAGAAGACCTCTTTGTTTCCATGGCTATGAAAGAAATAGGAAGAGGAAGCTGAGGCAAAGTTTTCAGGAAGCATATAGAGGTCTCTAACTGAATCAGTAATGGAAAGGCAGAACGCAGTGCTTGTGTGTCATTTATCACTCTCCAAGAAAACAACGCTCCATTCCTGAGCAAGGTGCCCTGGTTGGATAGATTCAAATACCTCCTCCAGCAGAACCAGGCACTTGTTGTTTGAAGAAGTTTGAATACCTGAAGTCAGAAGTATTCTGCCTCCAATTTCCATGACTTGCCTGCTAACCAAGCATGTTGTTTCCATCTATATCTAATTGGACACAGATCCTAAAATGCCAGTAAAGCCCTAGGCTGTGTCAGATCCTTTGCCTTCTGATAATGATTTGAGGATGGAGAGTTTCTTCCAGCACATGCAGAAACCCATGAGGCTCCCCTGTATGAAATAAAATGTGGGGTATTCTTCTGTGCTAACAGTGACATGGATTTTCATGTCTGAAAAGGCTGTTAGTGCAATTGCAGGTCAGTTTGGTGCTGACCTCTTCTGGAAGTAGCAGTCAAATTAAAGGGGAAAAAAGACTGCAAGAGTAAGGAGGGGAATTATGGAGAATCTAACCCAGGACACCAGAAAAGGGACAAGACCTCTGCAGAAAGATACTTCATGCCCATTGTTGTCTTGCCCACGTTGTTGGATTTTGTCTTTGTTGCACAGAGAGATAGGAAAACCCCAAGATTTGCACTGCAGCAGATGCATGCAAGGCAGATTATGAATAATTATCAGTATTTAGAACAAAACAGAAAACAATCCCAAGGGATTGGGATCCTTTGGGATTGTTTTCTCAAAGGAAACAATCAGAGCCAACCTCATTTCTAAGCTTCTTTTCTCCATTGACAATTCTTACTGCTAGCCCTCCCCTTATCTAAAACTTGACTAGAGCACAGGGCATATATAAGGGAAGGCAGTTTGTTAATTGCCTCTGCACAATTGCCTCTCCTCACACAGATCCTGAACAGATGAACACCCTCACAGTGACTGCAGGAACCTCATCCTTGTACTTTGAGGTTTCTGGATAATATCACCACAATTCTACTCACATTCCACAGAATAGGGATGTAAATGTCTAAGTTACTACACCTGCTTGCAGTGACTGACCAGCTGAGGAAAATGCTGCAGTCCTAAATATCCCTGACCCCAAGAAATTCACGTCCAGGTTGTGTTTGTATTGATCATAAAACCAAAAAGGCGCATTTTATACCTAATAAAATGTATAGTGCTGAAATGTTGACTACAAATGAAAACTAGTGCATTTGGCTAGGCCATTCTTTAATGTTGGCTCTCAAATCAAGTTCACTACATCAAACACTTACTTTGACAATGACTATTAATCTATACGTATATAGCCCTGACAGCTTTAGGAAAGTACTTCTGTATTTATGCCCAATGTGAGAAGTAAAACACTCACTTCAAGCACAAACAATTTGATCAAAAGGGCAGACAGAACAAGCAAGAGGCACCTGGCATTGATACTCTGTGTTATCACTGAATCTATTTGGCATATCGCTACTACAGCCAAAGGTGGGGAATGCATAGCCACAGTAGTAGATATACACATGGTGCACTGCCACGTCACTGAACACCAACAGCTGCCATGCAATACCACAGGGTCTTTAAAACATCTCATCTCCTGCATATTGAATTAATCTTGACCAACAGAAGCTATTTAATCCACCCCATGCCCATGGACCTTAACTGATCTGTCACAGTTCTGTTCCTGCTCTCTCCTTCCTGCCAGCAGTGCAGTGCATCGCTTGGTTACAGGTAACCAGGACCCAACAGAATCCTCTGACGAGGGCACAGAGACCAAGGCAACCATTTCACCAATTACTCCATAATTAGCAGAAAGTGGTTACTCTTCCAGTTGTGCAATTCCAAACTCTTTGAAATGAACTTTAGTTAAAACAGCTTCTTCAAGAGCATTTATTCATGTAGAGCAATGGTTTACAGGACACTGGCCTAAGAGGACACTTGGGCTATATCCTAATTTTGTTAAAATATGCAATTACATCATTTCTTCCTCTATCTATAGTTGTGTTGTTCCACCTTCATAGATGTTTTTAGGCCTGTTGGCAAGGAAACATCAAGTTCCAACACTAATTCCCTACAATAATCACATATTGCCAAAGTAAGAAAACTTACTTTTGGAGGGGGGTGGCCCTGCCTGTGGCAAGGGGTTGGAGCTCCATGATTCTTGAGGTCCCTTCCAACCCAAGCCATTCCGTGGTTCTGTGATTCTTAAGTGCACAAAGCCAGGCTCGGTTGGCCCAGAAAAAAGGCCTCTGTATATGTCACAGCTTAAAAACTGGATGTAAAAGTGCAAGCTCTAGAGTAGATAGCCCCTTCAGTGTTACAGGGTTACTTGTTCCTCTTCTACAATACCAAAACTTGATTATTTCCCCCACTGGCCTAGCTAAACCATGGGCTGGCAGATGGCTCAGTTTCTAACTATACCTAATGCAAATGCAAAGCATACTGAGGTGTCTGGTTAGTGAAACTGGCTGAAGGCAAGGGTGTTTGCCATTCAGTCTTGATGGATGAACTTGGGGCATATACATCTTTTTCAAAACCTTGCACCATGCAATAAGCCATCAAATCTGCTGACTGTTAAGTGTTCCAGAAACACCAGTATCAAGACAGAAATACGAATGCTTGAGATGTTTTCTTCCCCATACAAGTGTCTCTCTAAGCTTCAAGATTCTGACAGCTCTATCCCTAAACTGTTGCTTCTCCTAAACGTTTATGTTTTTTTCCATCAAGAAAACCCAACAAACAACTCTGTTCCTTGATTATGCTGCAAACAGCTCTTTTCCAACTGACAGTAACAAATCAGAAAAATTAAAATGAGCATCCCATCCCATTAGCCAGAGGGCAAATGTCAGCCAGTACCGCTTAGGCTACACGTCCTGGACAGGAAAACAGCTCCTTCCAGGCTGCATTGGGTCTGTATACCCTGACAGGATCACTGTCTCCTCCATTGTGCCAAACACTCCTTAACTTACCAAGGCAGATGGGGATGTCTGAGTGGAGCTGTAAAACCTTTGCCTTTCTGAACCTGGAAACTACTTCACATTCCTCTGAATCTGTTTAGGTGAAAACAAGGAATCCACAGCAAAGCACTACCCGTCAAGAATCTAGGCAGGCAAGCACCTCTCTGCCTTGCATACAGAGAAGTAGAAGAACAACCCAAGGAGGGTCTGGGGTGGAAGTGCAGGAGAGTCTAGCAGCCAGCTACCCAGCTGATGGCTTGGCTAAAGCTAAAGAGCTCTGCTCTGTTGTGTATTTCTCACTAGTCGTGAGCTTCCTTCAGGATCCCCTTGCTTTTGGGTGGAATTTCTTCCTTCTTCCAGAAGATGGCATAACTTGCTTAGTTTCCAAGATCACCTGCTCTGGACTCTTTACCCTCTAACCAGAGGGGATGTAGTCTTATCTCACCTCACACCAAGGGAGGAAACCCTTCTCTACTCTATTCCAAAGTGCAAGGATGGGCCTGGCCCTGCAGAAGAAAGCAGGAATCAGAGGGAGAAATGGTGGATACAAGGGGCATCCTGGACTTTGGAGAGGCCTCTGACAGTTCTCACTGCTCAGAGGAATGGAGGCCAAGCCGCTGCTGCTGCTCTTGGATTTCTCATCTGCATGAGAATGCCAGGCTCTACATCACAGAGTGCTTTTACAGTGTCAGGACACTACTTAAGAAGTATAATTGGCCAAGATGAGTTGCTATAACATTTCCCAGAAACAGAATTAATAAATAAATGAGAACATTTAAGATTTAAATGTTAAATTTAACATTTAAGATTTAAGCCAACGACCAATTTTCCTGACGTTTATACTATATAAACAAACAAACAGAAAAAAAACCATACAAGCCAAGAACCTTGGTGGAATTTAGTTGCAAGCCAAGACTATACAGTTGTGATTTTGTTAGGAACCACAGCCACCCGTCTTTATTTTCCCTCTCCTTATGTTACTGGGGCTTTCCTGTTCATTTGGGATCCCTAGGTAACTGCATGAAAAGGCAGGGAGACATCAGTGGTGAGCACAAAGAGAAAGGGCTGCTGAATCATCCCACCATAAACAGAGCACATTAGCTGCTGTGAGCTTGCAAAAGGTCAAATGCAGAGCAAGGCAGTGACTGTATTTGGTGTGTGTATTTATGGGCATGGACACAAAAGGTTCCCAGCCAAATAATAGGAATAAGCAGTGATTCATCTACCATACATCCAATAGACATCTCACCTGGAGAAAAACCCACTTCAACTCATCATCTTCAAAATTCAGAAACTTCTGAGAAAGAGATGTCCTAAAAAGCAAAGCTTACCTCATTGCTACATTGCTGCCGTCAATCACAATGGCTCTCAAGTGACTGGAGGAATCACCTTCCTCTTCTCCGAGCCACTTTGGCACTGATGAGGTGCTGCACGACCCACGGGCTACAAGTTTTAGTTGGGGAGGCTGAGCCTGGCTCTCCAGAGCTTGAGGTTTTCTCCCCATCCGAATCAGCTCTTTGAGCACATCATCCTCCAGGGCCTCTTGGCCCAGGCTCTCCAGCACTTTGCAGATGTCCTGTTTACCATAGCCTAGCTTACAGAAAAAGTCCAGCTTGCTCTGGTGAACTTCTCTCCCTGTTGAAACTCCTTCGGAGCCTGGTGGTACTGGCTTGCTGGAAAATGAACTGGTCAGGGCCATCCTAGCAGGCATCTGCCTTCCTTCCAAATGTGCTTCTGTCTTCCCGTCCTCGTCCAGCAGGCATCAGCTTTAGGTGGGGGAAAGATAAGAAATAACAAAATGCAAGTGTTAAGGCAGAACGTGCAAGCTCAGTTAGTCGCCTCGTGCACTATCCCAGTCTTCTCTCAACATTCAAGTGTTTTCCTGATCCTCTCTTATTTATAAAAGCAGTCAACTGGTCCAGGTGATGTTTGTAACTCTCCAGGCGTTATGTCAGACAGGTGTCATCCTACTTCACGAGCTATGCAAGCCTGTCTTTACCCAGGATCACTGTATGCGTAAGTTTGTTCTTTGGACTTATCTCACAGGAAATGATACAAAAGGCGGTGTAACCGGGGATTTTCAATTTGCTCAGTGTGGTTAATGAGGTGCAGATAATTATCTGTCGAATGCTGTTGGATGATCTCAGATGCCATAGCAACTTGACATGTACGACGAATCTCACCAAGTGATTTAGGGAAACGTTATTTAGCTGTGAACTCTGAACTCTTCTTAATAGAACTGTGTTTCCTAGTATGTGCCTGTGTGTGTACATACAGACATATCGTATGAAATTCTACCACTCACCTGTTCCAGTGATGCCTGAGTTAATATTTTCCTGTTGTTTTTGTATTCAGAGAAGCAGCTTGTTTTTTGAAGGCTGTCATGGGTAGTGGTTGGAAGAAAATCTGAAAATCGGTTTCAGTTTCACTTAGATGCATTGTCAAAAGACACCTGTAACTCAGAAATGACTGTGCCCAAGTAGCAGGATGCTACCTCAAGCTTCCCCATAACAGGACTATTTACATTTCTGGTCTACCTAGTAACTGACCACGATGGGCAATGTAAGCTTCAGAACTGCTTCACTCTACCGAGCATGACAGCAGAAGGACATATGTGGTGACTACTCAATATCAAGCCACATTTTTTCAGGCATGCTTGGCATGCTTGCACAGACGCTTATCTCACTAGATCTCTGCAGTTATTGATAGCACCAGTATCAGAGCTACGGCTGCATCACCTACTCACATGTAAGAAACGAGTCTGGCTGTCTTCCCTTCCCTGTAGATCTCACATCACCCTCACTGATGGGAGACCAAGTGCAGGTCATTCCTGAGTACAACATAAACTGCTGGGAAGATGCTGCAAACTCTGAAGCTCTGCTAGAGTGAGGCATTCAGACCTAAATCTTGATGTTCCTTTGTCTATAACACTTGAGATCTTATAAAAAGACACCTTGCAGACAGCTCCCTGGGAAGAAGAGGACTGTGGGACCACTGCAGTCCATTCATTGGCAGATCACTTCGTGATGGCTTAGACAGTGTGTTTTCCTGAAGAAGAAATCTAGAACTCTAGTAAAAGTTACGAACAGCGTCAGTGTATTTTAATAGCCCTCAGTGTTATTTTGTTGACCTGCATTTCCACATGTCCTGATGTATGTTGTTTGTCTCAGGGTGATTTCCCACACTAGCACCCTGTTGCACTGTGTTTGTTCCCAACTCCATTGAATGCAGGCTCAGCTTTGCCAGGAGGGTTCCTAGCTGTGGGGTACAGAGGCCGTACCTGTCAGCAGCAGCACCTGCTGAGCGAAGGCTGCCCTTCTGCAGTGCTGCTGGCCAGGTCTGTTTTTCTGCAGTCATCCACTGGATCTCTGCTACTGTTTGGCCAGACATTAGCGATGGGTAATGCAGTGACTGCAGGGTTTTCACCACAGAAAGAGCACAAATGGAACTCTGAGATGGAAGGCATGCTCACAGATAGCACTGAGGAGACTCTTAAAAAGGGAAACTTGAAGAGTGATCATAGAATCATAGAACATCCCAAGTTAGAATGGATCCACAGGGATCATTGAGTCCAACCTCCAGCTCCACACAGCATCACCCAAAATCAAACCCTATGTCTGAGTGCGTTGTCCAGACGTTCTGTGGACTCCAGCACTGTTGGCCATGCTCCCTGCCCTGGGCAGCCTGTTCCATGCCCTCCACTCTCTGGTGCAGACCCTTTCCCTAACCCCCAGCTGCCCATCCCCTGACACAGCTCCATGCCATTCCCTGTCGCTGTCACAGAAAGCAGAGCTCAGCACAGCTCCTGTACTCTCCTCACAAATTCTGCAGCCACCAGGACAGCTCCCCTTAGCTCCTCTGCTCTGGGCTGAACCAACCCAGAGAATAAGAGTCACCTGTTGATACTTTGATGAGCAATCAGCAGCATACCCAAGTCCAACAGGTCAGCTGGTTGCTACAATCAGTGCAAAAACACAACAAAAGAAGCAGTGCACCACAGAGTCCACCTTCTGCTATCAGACACAAGCAGGTCGTAAAATCCAACTTACAAACTTTACAACCTTCATATGCAAACTACTTGTATTTCCTTCTGCCGCTTCCCTTGCCCTCACAGACACACTGGGCAGCCACTGGCTTTGCACTCCACCAGCACTCAGCCTTCAGATCCTGGGCTGATCTTTCCTCCAAGCAAATGTGCCCAGCCCACAAAGCCATGGTATTGTGCCCCCCTTCTGTGCACCCACACAACTGGAAGGAACAGCTTCAGTGTCATTTCTAAATTCTTTTATAATCTTCATGTTTTAGCTAGAAATAAAGAAAGTAAAATGCATTTGGCCACACATGCAGGCACAGCAACAACTTCACACTGTGGCAGCATTCCCCCTGCCCAGTCTCGGCTGCCCCTTTCTCCCCTGTTCTTGAGAACCCCCCACAATTCATTCAACCTTCACCAAGCAGCACTCCCTGGCCCTTCCAGGAGCTTTTTCTTTTCAGAAAGAATATAGGCTGCTGCACTTCCAAATAAATCAGGGTGTTTTAGACTCCCAAATGGAGGACGCACATAAACCCCCACAAGAAGACCGGATGACTACAGAGCGATCTGCGCCTTTCCTCTCCCACCCTTTGTGATACATTCCCCACAAGCCATAGCAGCAAGCAGTGCCAGAAGCCATGCCCACCAGCAGCCCCACTCACCCTATGTTACCTGTCCGATCCCCATGGTGCCATCACTGTGGGCTGCTGGGAGCTGCTCAGGGCAGCCAGAAGGAAGCTGCCTGGTATGGAGAGCCTTAAGGCAGGGCTGCAGTCAGCAGAGAGCAAACAAGTGCTGTGAGCAGGTTAGAGCTCATTCTAAAGGAAGGGTTTACTTCCTCATTTGGCTCGCTGGTCTTTCATTTAACCGTACAGGTTGATAAACTTTCACTTCATTTTTCAAAAGGGAAAAAAAAAAAAAAAAAAAGGGTTCCCAATACATTTCTGAGTCATGGCAAAGATGAGTCAAATGCTTGCGGGCAGGGATCCACAGCAGCCAGTAGTCAGAGCTGGGTACAGGAATTTGGGGATGAATGGGCAACTTTCTACCACGAATACTTCATCACCAAGTTAGTTTTTCCCCCTTGCATCTGCAAATCCTTGACTTTCAGGGACATTTAAAAAAAAAAAAAAAAAAAAAAAAAACGGTACTTAAAATTTAAAAAGCACAGAATGAAGGACAGCATGCAACCTACCTACATGCAGCACAGATCTCTCTGGGACTTGGGTGGCACTGACTGGGCAGGTCAACAGTAACAGTTCCTAAGGTCACAACCAGCTTTCTGCTACCAAGAATACCTGCAACACAGCAAAACAGTCAGCCATGAGACCCTAAATCCTGAGGAAGGAGCCAGGCAGAGTGCCAAGGGTGTCCTCACAAGAGCACCCCTACAAAATGCTACTAGAGAGGAACAAGAAAACTGCCAAGCTGCTTACAACCAAGGGATGCAATAGAGTAGAGCATATGACATCACAGAGTATCATTTTAACTCCCACTTCTCCGCAAAACACTCTGCTAAAATGAGAACAAGGCTGTGGAAAGCATCCACAGAACAGTAACAAATCTGGCAAGGAGACTGGAGCACAAATCTTATGAGGAACAGCTGGGGGAATTGGGATTGTTCAGACCTTGTTGCTCTTTGCAACTACCTGAAAGGAGGTTGTGGCAAGGTAGGGGTCAGCCTCTTCTCCTAGGTAATAGTGATAGAATGAGAGGGAATGGCTTTGAGTTGTACCAGGGGAGGTTCAGGTTGGACATTAGGAAAAATATCTTCCCCAAAAGAGCAGTCAGGTGCTGGAACAGGCTGCCCGGGGAGGTGGTGGAGTCACCATCTCTGGAGGTGTTCAAGAACCGTGTGGATGGGGCACTGGAAGTCACAGACAGTGGGCATAGTGGGGATGGGTTAGCGGTTGGACTGGGTGATGTTAATGGTCTTTTCTAAACTGAATGAGTCCATGACTCTAAAGCAGAGCTTAAAAAAAAAGCAATTAGAAAAAAGTCAGATGAGAGAATCTTACATTCATCCTACAGTCCTTTGTAACAAAGTGACTGAAGTTACTGAACAAGCTATGAGTACCAGACTTCAACATTATTCAAACTGAAGCCAGCAAGGAGGACCCTTACCTTCCTTGCCAAAGCTGGGAAGAGCACACCGAGGCAATTGCTGGTGTGAGGCAGCAGACCACAAAAAGCAGATGATTGTACAGAATTTTAAAATGGTCTCAAACGCTATTGTTCACCAGCACAGATAAACATTTGCCAGTCCAGGGCCGTGGTTTCATACACATTTCCTCTTTCTGCTGCTTCCTTGTGCTGACAAGCACACCGAGTACTCCCAGTGCAATTTGTTGTTTCTCCATGGTGTTGTGGTAATTAAGGAAATGGATGCAGTGGGTGAGGTCTTCTCTGGGGAAGAACCCAAACTCATGGATGTTCCTATGCTAAGCTGAAGTTTGAGAGCTTGCTTCATTGTGAAACAACTGGACTGCCACTGGAAAGGATTATACCAACCTCCAAGCAGAACAGCTGTGCTGCGGCAGCTCCTGGAGACCAGGCCTGCCATCTCTGTAGGATCTGTGCAGCTCCACCTTCCTGATGGCAACAGATCAGACGTCATGCCGAGTGCAGAAGAACATTCTCTTGAACCTGTAGTGGAGAACACCACAGGTGCTCTGGTTTACGCACACCAATGAATTATTTGCTTTGTTAAAGGAAACATTCATTCATGGCACCAGAAACACAGAAAAGCATTATTAGCATCTTCCTCATGTAGGAAAGTTCACCTGCTGGGAAAATCAAACAAACATATGTGAGAAATCTCCAGTCCCTAACCAGAGCCAGGATAAAGCGGGCAGTTAAATACAATCCTATGGGCAGGAGCACCATAATCAGCCTGGGGCAGGGACTTCTCCCTGCTGCCTCACTCCATGCTACCACAACCCTTGTTCTTGGTCAAGGCTCACCAAGAAGTTGTTATTGTTACACAGTACAAGGTGTGCTCTCAATTTTAAATCAGGGTTTTATGCTCTGCTAGGCAAAGTCTAGACATTTTTCTGCCAATGAAATTCTCTCACTGCTGGAGACCTCGGAAATTTTGACTTGTTGGAAACAGGTGTTTGCCCCCAAAATTTACACCACTCACTCAACAGGTCCTGTTGCAGTTCTGCATAAAGCTGTTGACAGGCAACCCAGTGTCCAGGCTGGTAAACAACTAGTGTCTTTAGGAAAGATATTTTTATATGCTTTCCAAACCTGCCCCTCAACAGAATAGGCAGCAGTAGCAAGGTCTACATCTGACCACAGAGCAAAGAGAGACATTTATATGAACAGTATAGCCCATGGACAACTTCTTTCACTTCTTGGAAAATTACAATCCCATCTTAAGATCTGACACAGCAGGAACCCGACTTGTTTTTGCCATCTAAAATAACTATTTTTGGTCTCCCTTTTATATTAAAAAAATCCTGCTATTAGTCAAGTGTTTTCCACTGAGCTTATATAAAAAGTACCTTTTAAAATCAGAAACCCCCAAACAACTTTCAAGTTCAAAAGTCTACCACTCTTTAGCTTAAGATTTCAATTTCAGAAAGCTCCTGGAACAGTCTTTCTGTTTTAGTGATTTAGCAAATGCTTGGTAGACCTAAATCCTCATACGGCTCACTGAAGGGTTTTAACACCCACACCACCTTGAACAAGGCCAGTGACTCAGTGACTGGCAAAAATCATATCTTCACAGCAGCCAGACACAAAGTGACACAGAAATACTAACATGTGGCATAAACTTACATAACACATACATAAACTTCCCCATTTTTATATTTTGTGTAGCATTCCTACGTATGTAACAGGCGACTGACATTATGCACCTAGGAAGTCATCTACCTAGTAAGCCTACAAGCCAAAACCATAATGCTCTAATCAGTAATACCTGAGTTTTATATGCACACTCATGCTACAGGAGAATGAGGTGAACAAAAACAACTAATTCATAAATACTAGATTCTTGAAAATTCTGAATATAACATTTTAATGATGCAATTAAGTATGCTTGTTCAAGCAACTAAGTTCTTTGGGTTTGCTTGGATGAGAGCAAAGCAGGCCAGGTTTACCTGCAGAGGTTCTAAGCAGCCCCAAGCACATGGCTTGCTATACCAACCATACAGGACTGCGCAGAACAACTGCTGCAGCACACATCCCAGAGGAAGGTGACAGACTGCCAGTGTGGCCAAATGGGATTTGGCTAAGAAAGCTGACATGCTGTCAGCTCCCTCCTCTCCACAAATCTCAAGCCAAGCTTATGCTCAGTGAGTTTCACGCACACATCAGTGAGCTTTGGAAAAAGAACAGGAAGACATCAGCAAGAAATCCACCAGCCAGCAGGCAGAGCACACAGCAGAACATCAGGTACATTTTTAAAAGCTCTATGGCATTCTGAAAAGCATGAATGTGCTTATCTTTTTTTTGTTGTTGTTTTTTTTAAAGCTTTGTTTCTGAAGACTGCTTGGTCACCAACACAAGAGTAACCATTTATTTCCATGCATTATTTATATAAACTTCTAGATCTTAAGCATTTGCTTGTTGCTAGAGAAGAAGCCATTCGTGCTGCTGAGAAGTGAGTGTATTTTCCAGGAATTGGGTATTTGTTTTTATATTTTAAGATGCTCCTACACCCCACAGGTGTGTGTGGGGTCAATTGAGGCCTGCAAAGGGCGGCCAAAAGTCTTCAAATGCTGTTGAGTCATTTTTAATCACCTTTCCTGTAAAGGGATTCTTGGGTGTCCAGTAAGAATCCAGCTTTTTCAGCAGAGTGGAACCTTTCTTTACTACGACTGTCACTTCCGAAAAACAGCAAGAACCTAACTGTTCAGCGCCTCCACTTCCCTGTCAACCTAGGTCAATGTTTTTCATGTTAATAATGTGCCACCAAAAAAGAAGAACTGAGGACAGCATGCCAGCACAAACATTATTTCTTTAACAGAGCAGGAAGAACATGAGAAGAATCTACTGCCTCAGCAGCACTACTTCCAAATGCACCACATCTTGGTCTTGTGGAAGATGTTGCTCTATGTTGCTTGTTGCTCCTGTATCTTGTTGCTCTATAGAAACCTTCTTTTGAAGGCAGAAGTCTTGATGAGAACAGTGTGCAGCACTCAGCCCCAGGCCCCAACATACTCCCAAGAACAGGCTTCCATGAAAGCCCCCAATAACTTAGACACCGTTATGGAAACTGAATTTCTAGTTCCATGCTTTGGAATAAACACAAGTTAGCAAGGAGAGAATTAGCAAAGGCAGCCTCTTAAGCCAAATACACTTAATCTTTACAAACCAAAGGGAATACAGCTGTTTCTGGAAAGCACATTTCCTATCTGTACACAATACCATTCAGTATCCTTGCTCAGTTTGGTCTGAATGCTGTAGGCATCTGGCCTGGCCAGCTTAGTCAGAATCTTCTGCCATGGAGTAAATTTCTTTTGTTCCTTCAGCAGCAGCCTTCCCATAGAAGTTTGTTGGTTCGAAGTCCATTTTCTGCACGCAGTGCATTCAAATACACTCACCAAGCAGATTAGAACTGCTCCTGGCCTCCAGGGCAGACCAACATGTTGCGACTCCTCATGTCCACCAAGTATTTAAGAGTTTGGTTTTGTACTTCAAATCAAGTTCCAATGAGAGGTACCCACCTACAAAAACTTATTACACACCTACTACAGAATCAGACACTACAGCAAAACCACAACAGTTAAATTTATTCACCAGACTAGACTCCTCCAAGTCATCAGCAATTTCATGGAGGAAGAAATGATGAATGCTGCAACCTTAGCTGCTCTTTCCCTCTTATCAGCACAAGATCTTTCTCTGGAGAGGAAGAAGTGAGCATGCACGTTCTTAAAATGTAAGCAAACTGAATAATACTGTTTAAATGTCCAGATCTTGTACATGAGAGTAAACTGGACATTTAAAAGCCTGTTGACTTTCAGTAACACCCAGACTCTGATAACATTACCTGCATTCCTTTGTAGATGAAGATTTAACTGATCCACTTCTGCCACCAAATCTGAAAATTAATTCCATCTTGGCTTTGGCAAGTGCAGTGCAAATTACAAATTCTGCCTTCCTGCCAATGATCACTTTCTTCTTTCTTATCCCCTAAGCACAACTTGCCTGACATCACAACAGCTGGATGTCCTGACACAACAGAGCTCAAGATCTTTAACACTGACTGCAGCTGTGCCAAGTAGCAAGTGAACCTTACGTTTTGAGAGGCATCTTCCAATAATGTCACACAGCCAATGGATCTATGTAACAAAAGAGAAAGTTAGTGCAGATGATTTAGTACAGTGCAGCACTTCCAGTACCCTTGCAAGCAGCAGCGCAGCACTTCAATGCCTTTAAGCACTGCTGCACCGTTCTCAGCAAGTGAGAGCTGTCAGGACTAAGGCAACCTGTAGCTCTTAATTTTAAAAGAAGGAAACAGAGCACTGAGCACTTGCGCAAATGGTATCAGATCCTTTTTAGAGGGAGCATGCACATAGCATTTTTGACTCCCAGGTTCTCTATCATACTCCTTTACCACAGCATCTAAGAGTGCTGAAAGACAAGTACATTCTCCTCGCAGAAAGGAAGCATGTCCTGCAATCCCTTCAGTAGGCAATTCACTTGATAGCATGTGTTTACATTTCCAAAAAGCTTTAGACAACATTCCTCATTGGAGACTCAAATCATTCCACTAATGTTAAACATTTTATTAAAAAAAAAAAAACAACAAAACTTTTAGGAATCAAGCCTTACTCCAAGTCATACACTGGGAATTCAAAGAATTGTAAGGCCAAACAGCTGACAGACCGTAGCTGCTTTGAATTTGCACGGTCATATGATAGCATGTTGTAAATGCAGGAAGAAAACACTATTTTAGTCCCCTCGTATCTCCTGCTCCTCCATCATCTGTACTTAGACCTTTCTTTGTCTTTTGATTTCTTAGGACTTCTGCTTCTGTCTCTCTTTTTATCCCAGTCCCTTATTCGGACATCTTCTCTGTATTTGTCTTTATGTTTGCTGTAACTTCTCTCTTGAGATCGGCTGCGACTCCGATGCCTGTCTTTCTTCTCACTCTTCACCTTCTCTCTACAGCGTTCTCCTTCATGTTTTCGATCAGAATCCTGTAAAAGGAATTGGATGGACATGCAGTTACAGACAGAAGTGGAAAAGAATACAAAGGCATGAGAAGAGCTTGAAAGAGTCACAAATGGTTGGTTCCGTAACAGTCTAAGGCTGATTCTACCTGAAATGGATTAACACATACACACACCTGCTTTGCTTGCAGCAATAGGTGGATGGTACAAAAATCACTGACACAGCATATTGGAGTAAAGGAAGGAGAAATGGATTCATTACTCAGATTGTGAAATGCCACACTGATAGATTTATGACACACAACATGCTGGAACGACTATGTGGTAACACCAACACCCATACAGGCCCCAGCCTCACAGCAGTTTAAAACAACAAGATCCTTCTGAAAGTTACCATTTCACCTGGAAAGTCACAGAGCTCAAAACATTTTCTTACTAAAAACACTGAGTTTTAACATGTGAATTCCTGACATTTTTAAGTACTGCTAGAAACTATTTTGTTCTTAGTATTCAATTAAGATATTCAGGAAGGCAAAAATACAAGAGGCAGTTTCCAAATCCTGGAGGAATATACATATAGAACTTGGCATTCAGAAGGCAGTGGCCACTTCTGAAGGTACGACTGCCTGACAGTTTTGTACCAACACATACTATCCTAAGTATAGATCATATTTAGCGGGGTTGTAATATATTTTATGAGCTAGGAGAAATGCTTGCACCAAATATATTGTATTTCTTTCTTCATTTTAGTTTTCATTTTTCTAAATACGTGCAGTAACATTTACCATAGTGTATGGCTAAAACCTAAACCACATCACAAACAAGCAAATTTTTTTTTTATTTAAGTGGAAACTCTCCTCCAAGCAACCTTCTTCCAGAAAGGCAGCGACCAGCATTAGCCCCAGGGCAAACTCCCAGGAGTAAATGCTGCCTTCAGGATTATGCAGACAATGCTGAAATTCTACAGTTGCAATAGGAAATACAAAAGCCCAGGAACCAACACACATGCACAGATACAGATTTGATCTTTACAAACATAAACAAAAATTTCTGCTGCTGCTGAATACAGTAATCTCACTGGTAGTGAAATGCTTATTCTATATCTTTATTGTTGACCTCTATTTCAGTAAATTTTTAGAATCTGAATCAACAAAAACAGAGTGTTGTTCCTTCCAGTTACTTATAAGAGGTTTGCCCAGTCATCTTCAGAATTATGCACAACTTCCCTTTAAGTATTTTATCAAATATGTTACAAATGAACCCCAAATCCTTGGTTTCCATGTTTGAAGAGGAAATTGGGTTCCATGTCTGTGTCAAGTACTGAGTGAACATCAGAAAGTGAACCCCCCAGCTGTGAAGCAGAGTGGAACAAGACAAAAATACTGGCTAGTAAAGCAGGTGGGGGCACAGTGCCCTGCTATCTTCAGGGTGCTTTGTTGCTGAGGGAGAACACAAGGGGAATCGGGAAAAAAACAGAACAACTCTCAGTACAAAATCTACAAAGAAAACAGAGAGAGGCTGCTGGCCCAGCAAGAAGCAGAACTCCTCATTTACAAGGGGAAAGGCTAGTGCAGACTTGAATGTAATGACAAACTGCCTGCCTTGAATGTCATAGAAAAGGGCAACTTGCTGAAAGGATTAAAAAAGTCACATGAGCATGGAGCCAGATAAGTACAACCATCTTTCAAAAAGCATTTGAGACAAAGGTGTACAGGGCATGTCTCAAGCTGCAAGTGCCACAAAAAGGTTGGCATGGCAGATAATAACACCGCAGACTAAAGAAACAACATAGCAATTTGAATTAAGAGGATGAATTGCATCTTAGTTCCCAAAAAATTAATCATATTTCTCCTTAACTAACATTTTACCTCTTTCACTTCTCTGGCATAGAAAAACGTTAAGTCTTCAAAACACTGCATTAATAGAAGTAATAACAGTATTTGAAATTGAATCCTTTGTGCACTACCCAAGTCAGAAAAATTCTGTTTTCCTCTTGAAAGCAGAAGACTAGTACTTAAAAACAGATTTCTTTCTCACTGCTGAAGTCTAGATTTCCCAATGCAGGATCATTGCTTCTGATCAGCCAACAAATAAACCACGATCCAGTCACCAGTGTGTTGGTGAACACATGAGGAAGGAGTTATTAAAAGAGGGGAAGAAACTTCCCTGGAAGTCATGACTGACTTTGCCAGAAGTGTGCCAAACAACTCTTGAACGTAAACCACTCTGAAATACCATAACTACAAGCACAGAATAAATATACATCACCTCTATGTACATAAAGCACACTAATTAAATGCTAAAAGGATCAAGAGAGTTTCAGTAAGGAGATTTTGATCAAACCTAATCAAAACTGTCCAATAAGCAGTAAGAGATTAAAGGAGGAGATTAAAAACAGAAAGATCAATATATTTTTGTTAAAATGACAAGTGCAGAAATCTGAAATTCAGAGACCCTACGTCAAACAGAAATCCATCAGATGTGCTATACTCCTCCACAGACCCAGAAAGCTGCTAAGGGTACAAAGTCATAATGTGGATCTCAAGCAAAAGCAACCAAAATACTCTGCCAAATCCTATTCTCAAACCCACACACTGATGCAGCCTCTTGCTGCAGACCCACATCCTGTTGCCTACTAAAAGCAGCCACAAGACCCTACCTCTTCAGCCCTCTGGAATCACATCAAACAGCACAAGGTTCAAAAATATCTTCTTAACATTCAGCTCCGAGGCTGAAGATTCAGGAAACTGGTGTCAAACTAAGAAAAGGGATGAGTCAAAATACACTAAAGAAAAAAAAAAAAGAGTAAGAGAACAGAAAAACAACTCTACATCATGGAAACTATTCAGAAAATAAAAGTCCCTTTTCTTCAGTCATAGCTGGAGCTGGTAGCACCAACTTCAATTTCAGTTGCCAGAACCTTCTATTACTGGACTCTGCTCTCTGACAGTTAAAACCTCTGCAATACTAAGGGTTCAGGACAGAAGTCTGTACGTGACGCACAATCATTATGATCTCTGGCAACTGACTGTGTTAGGTTAGCTGCTGTTTTAAAGTTTTTACCTCAAATGCTTCTCCTACTTCTAAAATAGGTTTAAGGGAAAACCGTTTGCTTATACTAAATGTGCTACCACTGATCCAAAAAGTTCCATACTGTTTTGCTTTGTGCAGGCCTCAGGCACTGCCCCAAGAACACATCTCCCTCCTTGGTTATGGTACGAGTTCCCCAGGTTAAAACTCAATTATAAACTAACATATACACACACAATATATATATATAGTATATTCTAAGTATGATTTGTCAGCTAAGCTGCCAGCAAAGTTTACCTGGAAAGAGGCACATTCAAATCACTCACAGATATTCTATATGGAACTAAATACACAAAACTCATTTGTACAAGAGCAGGCAGGTCCAAGCCGCAGCCATCATGGCAGCAGCTCTTCCCTCAGCACCAACTGAACATTGCTGTGCTATTAACCCTGCCTGGGCAGAATCCCACAGGGCACTGCCTCAAGGGATGGCAAATAGGTTTATGCATTGTGATGCACTGGCTAAACATGACCCTGTGAACAGTGAAAAGTATGCAGTTGTACTTTTTGTTTTGATAAAGGAATTTGAGTACAGGTTTCAAGATTGCAAAAAAAAACCATCAGTTTCTTTATTTGCAACTCCACTTGAAGTCAACACGCCAATTCTCAAATGGAATGTATTATGTTGCAGTTAAAAATGTCTCTTTACCAGACTTTTATAAGCCCTCTCTTACCAGTGAGAACTACCCCTCACTTCACAGTCACACTTTATTTGTGCAATTTTTGGCCGTACGCACATTTGTGAACAACTATTCTGAGGGATGAAGTACAGGAAGAGCAAAATTTCATCAAAAATGTCTGACGAATACTTTGAGATCTCAGGAAGAACTGCAACCACTGCCATCAAACCTGGATGATGTATTAGTTTCACAAAAACAGGGCCACATATCCCGCTAGTTCTATGGTTTTGCTGCTCTCTTTTGTACATGTTTTAATTAAAAAAAATTAAAATAATGTATATAAAGTAACAAAACTTAACTATATTCTTTTACAACAGCTGCCCCCAGAGTAATCCCTCTTATTTTCCGATGTTGGTACAGAACATCAGAGGTGGATGTCAGTGATACGGTAGTAGAGGCTGAGCCTTCCCACCAATATTCCAATACATATGAAGCAAAGGTGTGTTACTGAATGCCTCCATGCAGAAAATCTGACGCTCAGTGACACTCACCAACACTTACTGAATGTTTGTAGAGACAAAAAGCGAATGTGAGCACAGTGAAGAGGCATCTGAATGATTTTTAAATGTTCTCTGCTGATAACACATGACCAGCCAGTTCTGTATGTGTATTTTCTGAACTTTCAAGAGCAGCTCTTACATGCCAAAATATTTGTGGCAAGAATGTTGAAAACACATTGTCAATCAGCCAAAAAGACTGGAGGAAGTCCAAAACAATATGAAGGCAGACCCCTTGCAAACATCTTATGCTTCAGATTTATCTGACCAGATCCTTCCCTCACCCAAAGGATCCCAGTCCAGTTAGTACACAAGCAGTAATTAGAAGACTGATATCACCAGTGAGCAGTAGACCAAAAGAGTAGCAATGAAAAGTGACAAAACATTGCCAGTGTTTGTGAGAAAAGTTTTCTTTAGAATCACAGCAAGAAGTGATGCAACAACAGAATCAGGTATGCTCTCTGTACACAGCACTTAAAATGGTACTCAAAATAAATGCCAGGATGATTCTATTTACTGTAGCTGGAACCTTATCACTTTCTGCAAAGTTGCTTGAAGACAACTTTGTTCTCACGCAAAACCTGCACTGTTAAAACACTGGATGTTTATATTTTCTGCTTAGCTTACCCCTACATAATGCTCAAATTTCAAGAGTACTTGACCCTACATTCAGTTCCCACGAAAGATCAGCATATTGACCATGTTAGGTTCAGAAAAATGTGAAAATGCTGACTGCAGAGGCTGCAGTGAAAAGACTGAATGGCACAACCGCTGCCTCCTCACAGCTTTCCACACAGCCTGCCTTGCAGCACTGTATGCTAGCACAGTCTGGATCCAAGCAAACAGGCATACAAATCTTACACAAACGCTTCCAAAACAACGTCAAAAAACAACCCAAAAAAATAGACAATGCAAAGAGACTGTGTTTCTGGTTCCACATGGGAGAAAGCCAACGCACAAAGTTTTGGCAAGAATATCGGAAATAGTTTGCATTCATGAAATTTCATGAACTTCTGGTTTATGACTGGGAATAGCAGGTTCAAAATGCTGAAGATCTTCCACCCTTTGAGAGGCTACATTGCCTCTTATTCTGAGTGGCTTTTTGCCAAAGCATCCATGTCTCGCTTCCGAAAGTCCAGAAAGACCCAAGAAAGCTTCACTACATTAGCCTTCTGTACATTCACAGCTGCTGTACTTTGTGGGACTTTGCACACAGGGTCCTCAGTTGTAAATCAGACTACTTCTTCCTGGCTGCTCTTAATAGAGCAACAAACTGATATAAAGTTAAGTCATTTATTCAACAAGAGCTAAGTACCTTGTATTTTTTGGTCCTCTTGTCATCTTCTTCGTCTTCAGAGTGGTAGTGCTTTTTCTTCTTCTGTTTTTTAGCCAAGTGTGACTGAATTGTTTGAGATTCTTCTTCCTCATCAAGCACAAGGTCATACTTAGCACTGATAGCATTGGTTAAGAACAGATTTGTTACTTAATAAATATAAGAACAGAGAAGTTCATAAAGGAGACTAACCCCAATTTACCAGACAGGGTTTATCAAGACATACAGGTACTGAAAAATTCAACTGATCCTAAACAATTGAATCTTATCCTGATAAACTGTACAGCCAGATCTCAGTTTTTTATTTTTTTTCTACCTGTGGATCTCTGAACAAGTTACAGTTTTCTGCACCGCGAGGAAAGCAGGATCACAAAACAACATTTCATTACCGCTCTTCTTTCATTGTGGATACAGCAGATCCCATGCAAAACCAAAAGTCTCTGTTATGCCTTATGCCACTCTGTGGCTCTACATAGGAAACAATAATTACTTGAATAAAGCACAAAAATGAAACAGCATATTTTGATTTCATTAAATTCACACAAGTCATCATATGAAACAGGGAAAACGCTTAATTCTATCTCAAACGTGAGATGGTTATAAGAAGTGGTAGCAAAAACATCCACTTGGCAAGCTTTAATAATATGAAATCTTTCCCAGCCTGCTTTCATAAGCTCTCCTTGGCACAAAAAATGCCTCTGACTGAAAAAGGATACTCCTGCTTTGGTTTCACCTTCTCTTTTAGAGCAAATTTTGAAGGTTTATCACGTTCCTTTTCATAGTCTTTGAAATCATCCTTGGTGTACTGCCCACCTGTTGGCAGAAAAAAAATTAGTTGGCAGAACTAAAAAGAAAAAAATCAGTAAGACTCACACCTACCACTGCATTCCATTTATGAGTTTGAGGGCTCTTCCTAGCAACACTGACATCTGAATGTCAGAGTAGAAGCGTGTAGTACAAATCATGACTCTGTGCTTCTCTTGCTTGCAGATCTCATTAAAAAGCATATGGCTTTCTCTTCACTCATGTACAGTGGAGATGAAATATGAACATCAACACAAAGCAGGATTTAAAAACTACTTCAGTCCCTCTTTCTCTACAGGGCCTATGTCACGCTGCTTAAAATTCTGTTTCCTAAAGACTACCCTCATTATTAAATGACTTTCTACTCCCACGTGCACAAGGGAAACCTCTGAGACAGCTGCAGATCTCCATCTGAATTCACAGGCTATCCAAAAAGTGTTATGACTTGATTTAAGAGGGGCATCACAGACTTCTCTGTCCATTCATTCACTCTGCAACAGCAGCTCACAGACCAAGATACTATTTCATAGCAACGTGCTGCCACCTCCCGGTCACATCTGAAACCTGCTATTGCCCGGCTAGGTCAGAAACAGCAACCGAAGGGGAATGACACTCCTTTGCCTATGTCACTCTATGGGTACCAGATAAGTCCAACAAAATGACAGTATAGTTTAGCTTTCCAATACTTAGGAAAATTTAGATCTATGTTGCTCCAGAAAAAGAAAAAAATTCCATGTAATTAATAAAGACCTCACAAGCTGTATAATAAGGTTGGCCTACAGAGGTGATAACCCTAGCCTAAATATTCACTTTTTGTCCTATACCTTGAATTGCTATACTCTGAATAATGAAAAGTACCCAGAAAGTAACACTGTACTGCTATACTATGTTGCTGTAAGTATCTACAAAGGCAACACTTCTAAAGTTTGAGATGAGGAGCTCATGATTAACTGGCAAAAAATCCATCTAGTAAAAGACAATCTATGACAAAATATTTTTTTCTTTCTGACCTACCCAGTTAAAGTAGCAGTAGGAAACCCTTCCACTCTTCCTTATGGAAGAAGTGAAGAGCTAGACACTTTGTTGCTCTGTGTTCCTGTGCTGCCAGGAAATTCACATCCTCAAAAATGATATGATTGAAGTTCTCAATTGCTTCTCTTTACATCATTATTTATAGTTTGGAAATCACAGCTTTGGAGTCAATTAGGAGTCAAAGAATCACAAGTGTACCCACCTTTTCCTTTCCACTTAATCTTTGCAACAGACTGGCTAAAATCCACATGTATCCGTCTGTCATCTATCAGCACGTTGTCCATTTTGAAATAGGCTTTCTCACAGTCTTCCTCCTGATATTAACATTTCCAGAAAATGTGCATTCGTGACTATTTCATAACAGCATTCACTGAAGAGCTCAAACACCAACTCGACTGCTCACTGGTACACATTTTCCAAACAGCATTCCATGGAGTATTTTTCTAAAATTGCCCAAACCACAGCAGTTTTTGCATTGTATCATTTCAAAAGAAATAATTATGCTTTGTCCCAATGTAAACATCCCAAGTTCCATCTTTTTTTCATTTTATTTCACCACTTTAAAAAGTATATGTAACATTTAGGGAAAAAAAGGGAATAAGGGACAACAACATAGGTAACAGAAGTAGGCTAAAGAAGTGTCTTCTGACTTTTCCAGCGTTATCTAGTTTTCCTCACAGATTAGAGACTATCAGAAAGTCTCTGTAAAGAAGTTATACACCATAAAGAAAACTTCTAACAGTAACACTGTAAGAGCAGCTTAAAGCTGACACGATTTACAAACTGAACATAGGGTACAGTACTGCAGACACCCATCTACCATCTTCAATTCTTTCTCCTCTCTTTATGCAGTAATCCTCCCAACATTCCCTTCTCTTACTCTTCAAAACTGTTAGAAAGCATGCTCTGGGAAATAAAAAGACCTGCTCCAAATCCACTGATTTCAAGGCAGGCTAAGTACATATTGGTATTACTAGGCTGAATCAAGACGTTGGCCTGCTTTAGGACCTACAATTTCTGTAACTAAGTCAGTAAGAGAAAATGTCAGGTACCCCACACTTGAGGATTGTACTGTTCTTTAATGGAAGTATACTGAAAATGAAATTGCACAAGCAAAATCTACATACAGCATAATTAAAAACCATACCTTTTCAAACTCAATGAAAGCATAACAAAGAGATTCACCAGTCTTCCAGTCTCGAATCACTTCGCAGCTGAAAAATTGTCAGGAAATTAAAACATTAGTGCTTCTGGAGCACAAAGCATAGGACAGGCAAGCATTGATTAAAAGGAAGAATAACAAACAGTTAAAATATAAAAGGAAAAAAAAAAAAACAGGCCTAAATAGTATTGTAACAGTTGATTCTGAAATCCCTGGTAAGGCAGTAGTGTTTCTGCACAGAGAAGGCACATGTGCCATTAATCAGTTGAGTAACTACTACACTTAACTCACAAGTCCTTACCTTGAAATGTGAAATAAGAATGAATTGTAGAGCTAGGGATGAAATTCTGATGAAATATAATTATTTTTCAATGTTACTGCTGGTGATCAAGTCTTTTGCATTTCACTAATGGAAGAAAATAAACCTCACATTCTGGTTTTATGAAGGAAAAGGAAAGGTTAAACAGATACTGTGACAAATTTCTCCTTTTAGAGGGTAGCTCATGAGCAGCCATCTTATCAGGAAGCTCACTGAATAAAAAAAAATGAAGCCTGAACTATTGGATTAGGAAATGCAAAATGGCAATAATTATAGTGTTGCATAAGTACTGCCAAACTCTTGCCATAATGTGAGAATTCTGCTCACAAAGTTTGAAACAGTCAACCAGTACAGTAAATGGGGTATCAGTGTGAGACCTGAATGTCCTTCATCTGCACTGAGCACTGACATACTAGGATTTAACACACAATCCACTGTGGTCAAGGTGAAAAAAAGAGGAAGGAGAAAAGACTGCTCATACAAGCTATATGAATTCTCTTCAGCAGCCATTAATTGAGAAGAAAGTATCCCTCTAGGGATACCTTCATCCTCTACTTCCCTAAAGTGCCTGTATACTAATGCATGCAGCATGAGAATTAAACAGGAGGCACTGGAGATCTGTATGAGGTCACAGAACATGGCCTTATTGTGATCATGAAGACATGGAAGGACAGCTTGCATAACAGGAATGCTGTCATGGATGGCTATTCACTTTTTAGGAAAGTTATGTCAGTGAGGCAATGCAGCAGAGCTGCTCTTTATGTGAGAGAGCAGCTAGAATGTATCAAACTCCACCTGAGGGTGAAGGATGACCCAGAGGAGAGCTTGTTGGTGAGAATTAGGAGGCAGCCCGTGATTTGTGAAAGCAGGACATGTGCAACATCCCTTCTCTTTGTGGATTATTCAGGAGGATCTATTTGAAAGAGGAAGGACTGCAGAACAGTTTATTAAACAAACTGATAGGGAAAAAAAAAACAAAAACTGTAAAAAGTCTCTAGGACATCCAAAAATTATGCTCCAGTTGTAAGGATAGCAATGCAATGCCAATTTCTCACATCCATCCTACAGAGTTTAGTGAAGGTGATTCTGCAGGTCTGCATGCCTGCTGTCAGTCCTGCACAAACCAGTAGAAAAGGAACACAAGGCTGGCTTACTGAGCTTCTGAATAAATAGGAGACTCGAGACCATCTCAATACACCTAACTGAAGTGCTTTAAAAGGGGTAGTGCTAGTGATACACTTCTGAAATCTCTCTGGAAGTTCTAATAAATTCCTGCAACAAAGGTTCTGGGGGAAACTAAGCAATAACAGCACACAAGATGACTGTACTAATAAGCAAGTGCAAGACATAAATAGTCATTCTCTCTTAAGAAACCAAGGAGGTCACTCATGGAGTTTGGGGATAGTATTAAATAGTTCAAGCAAAAAATTGCCAAGTTCCTAGGAGTCTAACTGAACAACTAAGGAGAAAGTGACCATCAGTGCAGACAAACACAGTCAGATGAGCATGGGGGGAAAAATCCTAATTGTGCCTTGTGAAAAGCGACAGAACCTGAGCTGACAATTAATTACAATTAATTAAAAGAGAAAGACTCTAAAATTTATATGATTTTTTTTTTTGTGAAATCAATATGGCGAAAACAGCCCAGGTTTTAAAGCATTCGTAGCCCCAGGAGTAATTAGTTAAGGCTGAAAACAAAGTGGAGAATATCAGTGTGCCACTGTAACTCTGTAATTTCTTTAATGCTGTAAGCAGTTCTAGTCCTCTCACCTTGAGGTGAAAACAGAGTAATAGAAAAAAGTTGAGAAAAGTGAAACAAGGTAAGGAAAATTCCTCTATAAAGTATGCACACTTGTACACCTAGCCGGGAAAAAAAAAAGATTATTTGGGATTATATACATTAGAGAGTTATAGGAAAGTTGGATACATTTGAGAGTTATAGGAAAGTTGGTTTCACTACCCATCTTTTTTTTTTTTTTTTTATCCCCCACACCAACTTAAGAGGAAATCAACTGCAACTACTAGGAGCCAGGCTCGAAACTGAAAAAGGCAACTGGTACAGGGAACACTTTAAGACAGAACATACTGGGTGCTACAAATGTGTACTGCTTTATCCAAAACTGTACAAGTTCTCACAAAAACAAACAAACAAGAAAACCAACCCCACCCAGTGACTGTATCTAGCTTATGCAGCAGCTGAGCTGTAAACTACTGAAAGGAGGGAAAGGGTGGGGGACTAGGGAAAGTCCCATATTTGTCTCATTTGCTCCTGTACTTCCCCTAGGTGTTCACTCAAAGCTACTGTGGGGACAGGATATTCAGCTGGTGAGATGTGACTTTGTATCACCACTGCTGCGGTATGACAGTGGGTAAATTACTAGAACACCAGAATAACTACTTAACCTAAATAACACTGATGGGCATCACGCTCAGTTTGAAGAAAGCATTCTGTTTCACATTACAATAATTACCTTTTAATTGGACCAAATCGGGAAAATATTATTTCTAGGTCTTCATCTGTGGTCACGGGATTCAGTTTACAAACAAACAGCACATTTTCTGGTGGCTTGACTTCTGCATCTGGTAAGTCTCCCACCTGCGGGGTTCAGAAATAGACTTTCATCATTTCTGTCCATAAATTTTAGTTCATCCTAGCTTAATAAGGATGAGAAATTACAATCACACAACTTTGTTCAGAAAGACAGAAGGGAGCCAGCACTCACGCCTGCTTAGAGGCAACACTTGCTTACAGTGCACACAACTTTGATGTATGCAATCTCTGGTCAAAATTCCCACATCAAAACCAGCAATCTACATTCCAGAGGAAAATACAAACAATCACAACATCTCCCACTGTATTACAGCACTTCTTTAAAAACTTGAATGAAAGACTACTGATAATAAACAACTTATGTCTACTTCACTTAATATGCTAATAAAAAGGTAAATGTACATTTGTTAGATAAGCAAAATACCACAAGTAAGGAACATATTTCAGAAAATAGCTTAAGCACATGACAGTGCCAGAGAAGCTTACTGTTTTGACAAAGGAACAATGAAACTAACTGCTGTGAGTTTTGAGGTTTGTCTTTGATATCAGTGAAACAAACAGTACACTACATTTTTTTTTTAAATCTCTTCAGCTTAGATAACATTGCTCTCTACTGCAAACTATCCAGCAACACTCATTATCATTGGTTCACACACTCACTCATTGGTTCACAATCCCCCTTGCCTTTTTTTTTTTTTAATTTTAAAGACAGCTTTATCCAAGAAAACACATCAGCGGCCCAATGCTGATGCAAAACAAGAACACAGGCCTGTAGATCTTCTGCAACACTGTAGCTAATGTTAAATTTCAGATAATCCCACAGAAGGAAGACAGCCATTACACACAGGATAGATGTAAACTACTGTGAAGAGTCTATTTCAAGTTTGCTCAGCTCTCTCCCATGCAGGCTAAACTTTTTTTGGGGATTAAAGACATTCAGCAGCACATTATGCATGTTAAGTTTTAAAATTGGATTCACTCCTAGGCCTCCTCCTGGTCCTGAAAATTACACAGAACTGACAAAAACCACTTCCTGTAAGTCACAAATATCAAGTGCTCATGCTTACTTCTTTTTATTGTACCACAGACATGTAATAGCACAGATTCTGAGCCATGACATCATATCAGCAATTTCAAGATAAATTTCTACAATTTTCTACACATAATACAAGAAGCACATGCATATACAGAAACAGAAATAACACCAGAAAGGTAAAGAGAAAACGATGCTCACCATTTCCAGAAGAATGGCACGAGTTTTTGCCTCTTTTTCTGCCTGAACTTCTTCTATTTCATCTGCAGACCGTCCTTTCATGTCATCAATTTCTTCATCTGCTCCTATTCTTCCACTCTGAAAAAATTAAAGAAAAAATTAAACTCTAGGCCAAAAATTCTCTATTTCCAAATACTACTTGGATATCACTTTCTCCCCCCGAGACAAGAAAAATGCTCCAGCCACGTATCTGTGCAGAGCTGGTCTTTCCTTTTGTTCTCTCCACTCAGGTCAAAAAAGAAAAGATGCTACCCTCATGAACTTCAGGCACCATAAACTACATACGAACTTTCAGGCTCAATTTGAACTGAACACAGTTTGATCTTCTGAATTCTTTTACAACCTCATACTCAACAATTCATCACAAGTATCAGCTCATGTCTAATCTAGATAGTTCCTGCCAGAAATGAAATAATGAACACCACAAATTTCTGTTGTGTCCTATAGGACCATATTAAATATAATGTACTGCAACAACAACCACAACATATCTCTGCACATCTACCACCAGGAAGATTTGAAGTTTAAGGTTCTCCCCTCGTTGGTATCTCTAGAACACTGCTGCTCCTACAAATACTTCAAATACATCAAAAGCTGTATCTTCTGTCATGCCACAGGCAGGGGAAAACTAAGAGCAAGCTTTCAAGTTTCTGCCAAGTTGGGCAGTCAGATGTAAAATTTCTTATACTGTTCAGCAGATCTGATGGTATGTGAGAGATTAAGCAGAGTACAGATGTGCCTCCAAAGCCTAATTTCAATCTTGCAATTATGTATCTATTAAGCTTAAAGACGAACAGTATTCTCTCTGGTTAATGTATTCATTGCTTGAAAGAACTGTATCCATATAGAGAGGTAGTATCACTTGGCAACTTTCATAACTGTATGCTGTGACTAAGTTACTCACTACAACTAAATTTCTAGCACGTTCCTTCTGTCTAAAGAAATACACCACAACAGTATGTATGCTTGGAGACATATGACCAAGAATGCTTACAATGAAATACAAACAGAACATTTCTCAATATAAAAGAGAACCAACAACAAGCAATTTCATATTAAGAAATGTAGTAATATTTGTGTTCCACCAGAAGAGTGTACAAAAAAAAAAAAAAAGTAACATCAGAGGTGAATATTCTGAATGTTGTGCTTAAATAGTCTTTAATTAGAAATCTGAACTACGGCTTTCCAAACTTATGCCACCACAGGACAGCAAACCACTCAAATAACTTCTACCATTTTCTGACAGATTAAACAGGTATTTATTTAAGCATAGCAATATCCCCAAAAACAAGACAAGCATTTCACGCATCAGAACTCAAGCTGGCACAGTAGAAAAGCATCTCTTATCCTCCTATGCTGAAGAATTTACAAACTATTAAAGATATGGATTTTGACAAAGCCTGTGCTGGTGATTAACAAGGATCTACTTGTTTAATTCTTTCTCCCAACCCTTCCCCAAGAAGCCATCACAAAGACTCACATCGAGCTGTTCCTTAGTAGGCTCTGGTGAGCGATCAGGAATGGGCAAACCAGGTGGATCATCAAACGGATCATCCAGAATTACTGTATGATTTATCCTAATAGAAAGCAACATCCAGATCAGCACCAGTCACAAGCAAATAAAATTATCTTTACTCAAATAAAAGGAAACCAGCCCTGGTGATTCCCAGCTATATCCCAAAAAGTCAAACATAGAATATGCTTGTAAATACTAAAACTGATGCTTCTGTAAAGGCAACAGATGCACATTTTCTTATTCTAGTATCTGTTTGTTTCTTAGAGAGCTATTTCCAGTCTACAGTCTAGTAAAGTCTCAAAACAGAACCACAGAATGGCCAGGATTGGAAGGGAATTCAAGGATCATGAATCTTCAACTCCCCTGCCACATGCAGGGCCACCAACCTCCACGTTTAAGGCTAAACCAGGCTGCCCAGGTCCCCATCCAGTCTGGCCTTGAACACCTCCAAGGACAGGGCATCCACAACCTCTCAGGGCAGCCTGTTCCAGCACCTCACCACTCTCTGGGTAAAGAATTTCCCTGATGTCCGAAGCAACATTTTACCTTTTTGCTGTTTCCTAACTTCTCAAACCACACAAAGAATTCACAAAAGAACCCAAAGGAACAAAACTGCTTAGAGCGACCACCAATTATTCTGGCATCCATCACCAGTGTAGTGTCCTGCAGCTTAGCTTGGACACTTCCATCCCTGTTCTGCAAGTTCTTAAACAACTACATACAACACAGAATCCATATGAGGAGAGATATCTATACTGATTTACAGATTAATGGCTCATGACTCATTAACTCATGACACGCTTCCATAATAAATACTAAGTTCCTTTTAGAAGAAATTCCTATTAAGACATGATTATAAAGCATTTGACCAATAATATAAAGATAAAAGAATACAAGTCGCTTTGTATTGCTATATTAATTTAGTTTCCAAAGAGATAAATTTCTTAAATTATAACATATTAATCAAAAAGTGAGGTTAAATGCAATCACACCTGATATCTTGATACGGGATAAAATCTTTATCCACAAAGGTTTCATTAATTGTCTTCAATACATCCATGCCTTCAGTCACTTCTCCAAATACTGTATGCACACCATCCAGATAATCCAGGTTTTCCCCTGTTGTAATAAGAAACTACAAAAGAAGATATAAAATCATCCACAGTAATTTTTTTTTTCTTGAAATTTTTCTTTCCTTACAAAGAAGCTATGGTAATGCTAGTGGTAACTGCATTTATTGCCATATGCCTACATGCTAGCAAACTGCATTCTTAACTATAAATACAAATGCCATTGTTTCTAAAAGACTATATAACTTTTTGTTTGTTTGTTTGTTTTTTGTTTGTTTGTTTGTTTTGTTTTTTCCCCAACTAACAGTGCATAGAAGCAGGAAAATTAACTCCATAGATTACAACAAGCTGTAGGTGGAATGGAACTGTAGGGCTTTTTTTTAAGTTGCTCTTTGATCATGCAAATAAATAAATAAAATTTTTTTTAAAAAAGCTTTTTTTCAATTCAAACTTATGAATGTTTCATGTGAGGCATTTTAACCCATAAAAATGACTGACAATGCATCCAAACTAATTATTCAGAAATAGTATCATTACGTGAGATAAGGCTTTAAACACATCTACAGCAAAAGCTTTGCACAGATGAACTGGAAACAACACCACTTTCAAAAACTGTTTTATAATAATTTTGGCAAGGATATTAAAGCTTGCATTAATACAATGCAGTCATACAAACAAGTTCTGAATTCAGTTTCCAAATTAAGATGGAACATTTAACTACAGGAACTTTTTTTCTGTAAAACTACTGAAAAACTACTTTTTTCCTGCCCACTCTATATATCAGCTAAATCATATAACATTATTAACAAAAGTGAATAAACAGAAGGGAAAAAAATAGAGAATTAAATTCTAACAACATTTATCAAATCTTTCTAGGACAGGATTTGAAGCCGAGCATTTCATCCTCTTCTCAGTAATCAAATAACTACTGGCACCTGGAACACCATGAAAAATACTCATCTATGGCCCTTTTTGTACAAGCCTTTCGACCACACTATGCCCCCTCCTGGAGGCATTCAAGGCCAGCTGATCTAGAGGAATGTCTGCCTATAGCAGGGGGTTGGAAATGTGATCTCAAAGGACCCTTCCAACTCAAACTACTCCATGATTCTGTGATTCCATGATAAGACAATGCTGTTGAGATGACAATGCTGTTGTCAGTGCTCCAAATTCAAGGAATTTCCATTTTCCTTACTTAGATGTGTACCAAGACTTACTCCCAGCCCTGCATGCTGACCTGTGATCCATGCATATCGCTGCCGTTGTTCACCATTGACACCGTTCCTTTTTTCTTGTGCTTAATTCTTGGCACTTTTTCTGCCTCAAAAAATCTAGCTTGATCACCATACAGTTTACTGAAAATATATAATAAACACGTTATGAGGAGAATGAATTTTTAAAAGTGAGATAAACAAACGTTGTAAAACAGAAAACAAAACTTTTTTTTTTTACTTTTTTTTTTTTTTTTTTTTTTTTTAATTGGCATTTGCTCTAGGGGAGATTTAGGTCGGACATTAGGAAAAACTTCTTCTCCAAGAGAGTGGTCAGGCACTGGAACAGGCAGGGAGGTGATGGAGTCACCATCCCTGGAGCTGTTCAAGAAATGTTTAGATGTTGTACTGGCAGAGTTTAGTGAGGAAATACTGGTAAAAGGTAGACAGTTGGACGGGATGATCTTGGAGGTCTTTTCCAACCTTGGTGATTCTATGATTCTATCAATAAAACCAGAATTTACATTATATCTGTGCATAGTTTTTAAGGACATGTACACTTACATAATCTACTACATATTACAGAAAACAGGTTGGTTTTTTTTTTCCTGAAGCCTTTCATAGAGGTTTTCTGGAGGCTTGCTTATATGGTTCTAATGCAGCGTAACATTTTTCTAGGGCAAGAAGGTTCCATCAAAATAAATTAAGCCTACACTGTAAAAGCATCACATTTTATGCCTCATATTTCTCTTCCATGACAAACAGAAAGCCACTAAATCTGCCTGTACGCTCAGGTCACCATACACACAGAACTATACAGAGTACCTTAACCCTACCCAGGATACAGCAAATCATTAAAATGTTTTCCATTTTTGAAGTCTATTCTTGATTTTTACCTCTCTCCATAATTGACAGAGAGGCGATCAATATACACACTTGTACACATTTAAGGAATAATATTGTGTTTGAACTAATTTTGCTAAACAACTGTAAGTCTTTATGAAGAGAATGTTCAAATTAAAGTTTCCCTGCAACAGTTTCCAGGGTAGCAAGAACAGAAATGTCAGTTCTGTGGACTTCTATAGAAGTGTAACGCTGCCATTCTCCATGCCAGCAGCAGGGCAGTATCACCATTCCCTCAAAACACGGTCCTTCCTCACCTGCTGCACTAATGAGCCAAAACCATCCTTATAAAAGAACAATATCAAAACAAACTTCATCTACCCAGAAGCAGCTTACGCCTAGTAAGCACATGCACCCAGACTTGCTTCTGCTTAGCACAATTAAACTGCTTCCAAGATCATGACAGATTCACATGCTCAAAGTTTTCTATTTAAAGGCTCTGACAGCTCAGACTTGGAGAAGTCAACGCTGGTCTAGCAACTCTGTTCAAACTGAGCCATTTATCTCAGTATACTGTGTTCTCCACCAACTCAGGTTTTCAGTTCTTCTCTGCAATTTTCATTCTATTTTTAACAGCAATTTCAAGTGAATCCTTTAAAATCCTAAAGAAATCCTTGGCAACTCTGCCTACAGCAGAGGATTGGAGCTCAGTGATGTCCCTATCAACCTAAGATATTCTATGATTCTATGGAGAAACATACAGAACACACATATTTTGCCAGGTTCCACCATAGCTATGTGAATTTCTTCAGCCTTTACATTCATGACCACTAACATTTTTAACAAGGAAACTGAATTCCCAGTACACATTCAGCATGATTAAAATGAACTCAGGTGAGTTTTCAGGACAGCAGGATTGCTTAGGGTATAAGAATTCACAGAGGAAATGAAGCACAGCCTGTGTTCTCCTCCTGCCCAGCTAAATACATTTTGTTACAAAAAAATATATATGTAGAAACTGCAATTGATTGTGTCCTCCACAGAGCATCTAGTTATGGTTCTCATCTTACAAAACCAAACCTAGTTATCTGCTCACTCAGAAATGAAGAGAAATTTATATACAGCATGTTATAACTTAATTTCTAAGGTTGAAGATAGAATGCTGTCCATAAAACATTTCTGAATGGTTAAAATCAGTGTAGGAACTAAACAAGTATTCAGCTATCATAACCAAAGAAGCTTATGCATCAACAACTTCACTTCTAAACAACAGTTCTGCCCTAAAAGAGCTGAAAACAATCAAAGTGCAACCTTTTACTCCCATGCTACCTCTCTGCTGATTAAACACCAGACATTTTACTTACCAAAATATAGATTCACCTCCACGGCCAGTTCCCATGGGGTCACCCGTCTGTATGATAAAGTCTCTCTGTCACAAAGAAAAATACATAAGATGCTGTCACGTTTGTGAATTCAGACAAACAAACAAAATACCACACCAAAAACTGAGAATACTCACCTGCACATTATAAATAAGACAGTAGTTGTAGTACTTGATCTTGCAGAGCTTCAGAAAATTCAGGCAAGCTGCAAGAAATGATACTCACATTTAGTAAAAGAACTCTGGGTCTAATAAGAATAGACTTATGACTGTGTGTACAAAGCTGCTTTTGGGGCAGGCGTTTGAAGACTTGGCAGCGTAGGGCTTTATAAGCACTGTCAGAGACGTTGTGAGGTCCCCTTCATCGAGCTGCATACGCAGGAACACATTTCCTGCCCAGTTCCTTTAGAGCAGCAGGAAAGAAGGTCACTGCTGCTTTTCAGTGCCAGACGTTGTCACCGATCGATATTTTCAGTGTGTGTTAGTGTGCGTTACATGTATAAACACCTCGTCACAGACACAAGCAAGCTCTCCAGCAGCAGTCGGTGTTTGTCAATACTTCAGAGACCCAAGGGTACCACGGAACCTCTGACCCTCCTACGGTCCCGGTTCCAGCACGGAGCTCCAAAGCCCGGGCTGAGCGCACTATAGAGGAGGCTAGCAGCCTCGGCCCCTTCCCCACAGGGGATGCTGCCAGCCAAAGGGCGGCTACAACTCCGGGCGGCGTCACGGGCGCCAAATGGCGGCGCCGCGGAGCTCCCAGCACGGCGCTGCCCCACGCACCGTCCCGGCCCCGCGGCCCGCCTCACCGCCACCCAACGCTCGGCTCCCCCCGGTCCGGCCCGCCGCGCCCTTACCGCGGGGCCGCTCCTCCGTGTAGAGGTCGATCACCAGATCGCCCAGCGTGGTTTCCAGCAGCACAGCCATGGCCGCCTCTCGCGCCGCCGGTCCGACCCGGCCCTGCCCGCCGCGGGGACGCCCCCTGCCGGTGCGGAGGAGGTCCCGCTCGGCGGGCTCCGCCTGACGCCTGGCGGCGGGTTGGGGCCAGTGCCAGCGGTACTGCGCTCGTGTGCGAGCCTTGGAGCCACCACCGGCTTATTCCCAGCCTGCGCACCGAGCGTGCGTTGATGGAAGGCTGTTTCTGAGCCTCTCTGTACGGCAGTTAGTGACAGAAGGAAGCAGGATCGCACAACGCATTTATTACTCTGAAGCCATAAGCACATCCGCCTGGCGCAGGTCCATGCTGGCTGATGTGCAACTATTCACCTGCTGCTTTCAGAGCTCTTGCTTTGCCTTTCAGTAAGAAAGAACCCACAGCTGTGCCACGGGAGGCCTGGGCAGGTCATTAGGAAAAACTTCTTCAGTATGTGTGTGGTCAAAGCCCACAGCAGGCTTCCCGGAGAGATGGGTGGTGCCCCACAGATGTCAGCGGTCAGCAGGCGTTTGGACAGTGCCCTCACTGACGCGCTTTAACTTCTGCTCAGCACTGAGGTGCTCAGACAGCTGGAAAAGACACCTCTGAAGGTCCCATCCAACTGAACTTGTGCAATAATGAAGAGGAAAAATAAATAATGGCAAAAATTATTTAGTCATTGATAGGAGTTTTATCATTTACATAAATATTTACACTGTTATGACATCCCGTGTGCTGTGAGACTGATTAAAGCCTGGGAAAATTGGGGAAGAAGTGACATTTGTTGAAACGATTTTTAATGCATAGTTTTTGCAAAGTTAACTACACTCCAGAAGAATGAAAAGAGGAAAAGAGATAATGAGAGCATCATGGAATCACAAGGTTGGAAATGACCTACAAGATCATCTAGTCCAACTGTCTTCTCACTACCGTTGCTACCACAAACTAAACCATAGTCTCGCAGCTCCTCATCCAGATGCCTCTTGAACACTGCCAGGCACGGCGACTCCACCACCTCCCTGGGCAGCCATTCCAGTGCCTGACCACTCTCTGAGAGAAAAAGTTCTTCCTTATGTCTAATCTAAATCTCCTCTGGCACAACTTGTGACCATTTCCCTGGTCCTGTTTGTTGCCTGGGAGAAGAAGCAAAACCACTCCTCATCACAACCTCCCTTCAGGAAGTTGTAGAGTGCAATGAGGTCTCCCCTGAGCCTCCTCTTCTCCACACTGAACAACCCCAGCTCCCTCAGCTGCTCCTCACAAGACTTGTGCTCCAAACCCCTCACCAGTTTCACTGCCCTGCACACACTCCAGGGCCTCAATGCCTTTCTTGCAGTGAGGGGCCCAAAACTGAACACAGTACTAGAGATGCGGCCTCACTACTGCTGAGTATGGGGGCATGATGACCACCCTGCTTCTGCTGGCCCCACTATTTCTAATGCAGGCCAGGAGAGGACAAAAGAGAAGGAGGTGTGAAAGACTGGGAGAAAAGGGAAAGAATTAAAGAGGGAGGGGAGGGGAAAAACCACAGGAAGGAGACTTTCAATGACATTCAAAAAACAACAGGTTTTCTGTTCCATCCCAGTGAGTTCCTGAGTTCCTTGAGGTGAACTGATAACACATCCCAAGCTTTGCTGAAGTGTTCTGCAGGTCAGCGGGCCTTGAGTCCTTGTATTTGTATATGCTATGATATCATTACGTATCTCGCACGTGTTGTAAGCATTTTAATAATCACCCCCATACACAACAAGGTAGTGCTGTAGCTTACTTTTGCACATCTTGGCTTGTTGAGATGGAACTCCCATCTGATTTACTAATGGACACATAGTTAGGAATGTACTTGATATATAGGCTTCCTCCCACCAGAGCATGCAAATGGCTGCAAGTACTAACAAGAGCTGGATTCTTGGAGCTGCCCTCCTATCCCCACACTCCTACAGCACTCAGCAAAATGTCTGGCTGCGGAGTTGACATGCCATGGAGATTTTTTTGTCACATGAGCCTGAACAGAAAACAAATCCTTTGCCTATTTGTTTTAGTAAACCAAACACAATAGATTCAAATGAGCAAACAAATTTAGGACAGATCTGAGAGAAACTAGGTGATGTTGAAGAGAGGCTGTGGAAATTATGACATCAGTGCTTCTATTCCTTCATCCAGTGCTGACTTCTGTGTTGATGAGAGTCAGTTAATCAACTTTGTGTTTTCTAATCTCTGAAACAGTACTGTTGATAATAAATGTACTTTGGAATTAAAAATACCTAAGGTGTTTGTTTAATATGTATTTCTAAATCTATGACTCTCTCTTTCCAACTTGTTCCAGATGTTTATGACAGTTTGTCAGAAATGCCAACTGCACATGAATAAACAAGTTTGTATTTCTTTTACGATTTACGTTCACTATCAAAAACGCGAGTCACAGAGCAATACAATATCAGGCTGCAAGTAGCTTCACCAGGATAGCTCACATATTGCCCTTTCTGAGCTGCACTAGGCAGACCTGTTTGTCCCCTTACCATCAGAATGTCTTTTGCTAGCAGCTATATTCTTCCCATCTTTTTCTACACACAGATCACTATTTATCTCAAGATATTCAAGGCCAGGCTGGATGTGGCCCCGGGCAGCCTGGTCTGGTGGCTGGCAACTCTTCACATAGCAGGGGGGTTGAAACTAGATGATCTTTGAGGTCCTTTTCAACTCAGGTCCACGCTATGATTCTATGACCCCCATGCCCACCAAGAACCCGCCAATCTCGGCTGTTTCCCTTCTCTTTGCCTGAAACGCGTGCTATTGCGCTGTTACAAAGTTTCCGCCCGCGTTCTCCAGCCGAGGCTCAGACCTCTCACAGTCTAAACCTCAATCTCACGCGTTCTGCATTGCCGAAGGAATTCCCTCCGCCGCTGCCCCGCGGCACGCCGGTTGCTCAGCTCCCCAGCCCCGTGCAGCCCTCAGAATGCAGCCGGTGCTGCTGCAGCGAGCCCCGCCTCGAGTCGTGCGGGCGGATCGCTATAGGCGCCCTCGGGGTGCAGCCGGAGCGCGTTAGCAGGCACCCGTCATCTCGGGCGCGGAGGACGAGCTCCCGCTCCTGGGAAACCCGCAGCTATTTCCGAGCAGCGGGAGGGCCCTTCCCGGAGCACCGCCCGCCCCGACGCCGGCCCGCAGCAGCGGCCTGCAAGCTCCGCAGCCCGGCCCCGCGCCGCCTCCTCCGCCCGCCGCCCGGCCCCGCCCCGCCGCTTGTTGATGTTTCACTTTGTTTTAATTCCCGGGTCGCAAGATGGAGGCGGCGCTGGGACGGCGCGGGCGGCGGCTGCTGCTGCTGCTACTGCCGTTGACCGCCGCGCTGCAGCTGGGCCCGTCCGCCGCGCTGCCGCTGGGACAGGTACCGGAGGGGCGGCGGGGGGGGGGCTGGGAACCGCCGCCGCCAGTGGATGAGGAGGAGGCGGCGGCGGCGGGCGGGGCGGCGGGGGCTGCGGGCGCTGTGGGCGCTGCGAGCTCCCGGCGTAGCGCGGGGCGGGCGCAGGTGCGCTGCCTGCAGACTTCGTCCCGCTGTGCGCCGGCGTTTCGGGCTGAGGTGTGCGGGAAGAGGCGCAAAAGGACCGCGGTACGCGTCTGCCACAAACTTGGTGACTGCGTGCCTACTGCTTCCTGCCTCCCTTCAGTGATTCATCCATATAGTGTTTGAAAAATATCTGGCAGGCTGAAGGAGAAGAACATCATGGCTATCTGTACTGCTGGGCAGATCCACCTCGTGCTGTGTGTGTGTGTACATCCACTGTGTTGTGTCAGGCTGGTGCTGCACGAATACATGGTGCATTATGGCCGTTTCTTCTCCCAGTGATGTCTGTGCTTCTGAATTGAACCCACAGCAGGTTCCCAATGCAGCTGCGTATTCATGGAATCATAGAATGGCCTGGGTTGAAAAGGACCACAATGATCATTGAGTTTCAAACCCCCTGCTATGTGCAGGGTTGCCAAACACAGACCAGGCTGCCCAGAGCCACGTCCAGCCTGGCCTTGAATGCATCCAGGGATGAGGCATCCACAACCTCCTTGGGCAACCTGTTCCAGTGCAGGGCATCGTGCTGCCTGCTTTCTCCTTCCAGTGCCTGTGCTGGGTTCACCCAGCCATTGTACAGACACTGGAGGATTTGTCAGGGCCCCTTTTCCCTGTGGTACTGGTTGAAACAGTCCTCCTGAGGGCCTGGCACAGGCCCTGCACTGATACATCCTGAGCTCACTTCCTCGTCTCCACTTCCCTTTGCAACCATTGGAAGTGAGATGGGCTTAGGTCTTCAAGATGGAGATCTAGATCTTCAGACATCAGTACTCCCATTCAGGTGCAGTGAAGTGTGGGAGCACAGACATAGCGCAGTTGATCCTCAGGTACTTTGCTTTGGGTGTAGGGCAGGTGCATTTCAGAGCCCTCATAAAGCCTTACAGTGTGAGCAGGAGCTGGTGGGAGAAGGGCCTGGGCAGAATGGGAATTCAGTGCTGTTGGGTTGGCATCAGCAGCCAGGAGCTTAGCAACACATGGCATGTGATCAGAAGGCTCTTTCCTGAGGAGGTTTTGGTCTGCAGGCTGGTTGCAGCTTCCCTTTGGCTGTCATGGCTGTACACTCCAGCATCCTGAAAGTATGATGGCACAGCACTTCTGATAGTTTCACGTTTTGTCAGTCTTGTGCATGGCAGTAAGTTTGCCTCCAAGACATTATGGGACCCGTAGTGAGGAAAGACCTGAGAATGTTGGAGAACATCTGTGCAATTTTGTTTTCTAAGTTTGTAATGCTTTTGTTCAGCTCTGGAATGTGAACGCCTCCATTGTTGTGCAACACTTGTCGTTTCTTAAATAAGCTGTTTTGAAATCTGGGCTTTTTTTTTTTTTTTTAAAAAAAAAAAAAAAAAAGGAAAGAACATTAGTATGTGTGCTTTAGTTTTGCTTTCTCCTCCCGAAATTTGGACAAGCAAATCTGGATTACAAATTGGGAAGAAAAACAAACAAACAGAGGCAAGGAATGATGCCATAAGAGTATAACTGATCTTCATCAAAGTAATGTGTTTTTATAGTGCTCGGTCAAGAATTAGATT